CCGCTGGCTACCAGCAAAACCAAACACGCCCAAAAAAACGACGCCCAGTAAATAGGGACCAGATCCTCAAAATGGCGACTTTCCCTGTTCCTTTGACAGAACCCGGGCAGTACTTTCAAAAGAGCCGTCTTAGACTGTGGAACCGCCATCCACGCCCAACGCCCAACAAAAAAAAGGGCACTTTCCGGGAAAACATGCCGGTGTTCCTTCAAGCCAAGGTGAAACGCCGGTACCCCCGAAGCCAACGCAACGAATCGCCTGGATGTAGGCCATCAGCAAGCCCACGCTCAGCGGGAATTGCTTCCCGGACTTCGTGGGCGCCGTCAACTCGTTTTGGCGCGCCTTCGCCACCACGGCGTCGTACTGGGCCAAGGGATCTGTCCTGAACGTGGTAGGCTAGGCAGGTTAGGTTAAAGGTTGGGTTCGGTTAGGCTTGGTAAAAGGTTGGGTTAGGAAAGCCTAGGTTGGGTTAGGTCAGGCTAGGTTGGGCTAGGTTAGGATGGACTAGGTTGGGGTTGGTTGGGCCAGGTCAAATTAAATCAAAGTCTTATTGAGGCGCTGGAAATCAACAGTTAAGTGTTTGTTACGGCAAACAGTCAAGGAAACTGGGATAGGGCTGGGATCAGTTATCTGGGTTCGGATCGCCTATTGTTTCCGCAATCATGAACTAGGATTGCAACCATTTCCAGCCCTAGGGTCCAAGACACTGGGAATCACTCCAGCCAAAAAAACACACATGTGTCTGGCTTTTGTTGAACCCTCTCACGAAGAGCGCAACAGCCTTTCAACTGGCCTTGCAGAATTCCCTTTAAAACCCCTGTTGAATATCATATTCTGAGGCTCTGACTGGCCCTATCGACCCCAAGTCAAAGCGTGCTTTGGCCACAGCACCTGGCGACATCATTCATCAAGCATTCATAGAGCTTCGTGCCCAAACGCATTGTTTGGTCCTCCACCGCATCTGGTCACTTGCCTAGAACACCCAGACATACACGCGGATCACCTTTTGGGGCCACTACATGGGTTGCCACAAAAGGAGGAACCCCGAAGAACTGAAGCCTGGTGCATGGAAACATGGACCAAAACCTGCGGTCTCCTCTTGGTGCTGTCATTTTGACCCATACCCAAGTGCCACAAGTAATGTTGACCATGTTCAAATCAACCCCTATTTGTTAATATGGGGGTGTTCCCCTCCAAAAGCCATGGGTCAATGGCCAATTCGTACCCCCAGTGAACATCGGGCCAATCCCCACTAAACTAGGTTCTAACATGGGTGGTGAATTCACCTACCAAAATGGTTCCATTGTTTGTGGCCCACAGCCAAATGCCACAAGTAATGTTGACCCCCTATTCATCAACCCCTGTTTAGTAATATGGGGGTGTTCCCCTCCAAAAGTGGTCTGAATCCCGGAATAAACCCTGAAATGGACACCCCCCATATCAATAAACAAGGGTTGATTCATAGGGGGTTTCCATTCGGAGCTGCACTCTGCTTAGAGCGCAGAATGCATTCCGAGGCACAGGGGGCAGCCAGTTGTCGACTTGCAGGTGTTCATCAGCAGGGCCACGAACTTATCCTTGGTTCCAGTAACATAGGGGACCCCAACATGCTGGTTAACATCAACCTTTTAATTCTGCTTAACATAGACCCACGAAGGTACCCTCCAGAAACATATATATATATATATATGTATATATACATATTCCTTTATTCATTTATGTATGTATGTTTTACATACGTCTGCATAATACTCATGCATACAGCCTTGTATGCTCAAACGTGGGTACCAGCTTCAAGGGAGTATGTGCTTGGGCGTGGAAAGCTGCAGGACAACCAGTCCAGACTCCACATCCTCAAAATTATGCGCCGAGCTTTTGGCTGGAAAAGGCTCGCTTGAGTCAAACTTGGGAACTGAGAGAATCAAAAGGGCGGACCTCCGCGCCAATTTATGGCAAATTGACTGGGGTTGCTCCCTCCCTCGACAGGCCCCCCGAACGAGCAAAAGGTCGATCGCATTTTGTAGGTTCAATAAACAAGCAGCTTGGGCGTTTCTCTCTTTGTTTGGGACCCCCACATTAATCAGTTGTTTCCCTCTGGGTTTCCTTTAAAACCAAGCCCAAAACGGGTACCCGCAAAAAGAAAAACACCACACCCATTTGCTTCCAAGAGGTCCCTCCCAACGCAACCAAAAAAACACGCCCGACCCGATAACAGGTCACACCAACGATGGGCCGAACTCGCTTCCAAGTTTCGTTGGCCCGGGCGTCCCCCAGCGCCTGGACGTCCTTCCTGAAACCAGCGAGGCGCTCGGAAATGCGGAAATGGAAACCCCGGATTGACCCGTTAAATGGGTTCTAACAAACCCGAGGATGCTAATATAGGGCTAAATCATGACGAATAAGTTGCCGTAAGCATGAAAACATCTGACTTTGAGGTACTTATGATTTGCAGCCCCATTCAAATCATAGTTACTGTAGGCCCTTGCAGTGCGCACATGATCCTCATTTAGTCTTTGGTGCAAGCAATCCGTTCGTTCGAACCGATTTAGGGCCCTGACCAAAATGGATTCCCGAAAACAAACGAGCAGTGCTCTAAGAGTAAGTAAAACTGGGATCCCCATTTAAACCACCTCGCCAAGAAACAGGATTAATAACTCCTGCCTGCATTGTCGACATTTGGGATCTCCATCCCGAAAACAAACATTAAGCAGGTGTTGCCTAGGGGAATGTTCGTATCGTGCCCCTAAAAGGGACTGAAACATTAGATTGCAACCGAGCATGGGACATCATCTTACCGCAGTCAGTGGCTTGGTGTGGTGGTTAGGACGTTTTCGTGACCTTCCCCATCTGGTTTCTCATTATCCAAGTATGCCCAGTTGCCCAGAAGCCTTTGCGGGATCCCATTTTCAGTGGAGAGCCCAGCCAAAAGGGAGTTGGAGGCATCATTTCTTTTCCAAAGGCACCCAAGTCATAATCAAAACCTAGTACACAAATTGTGAACCCAGAACCATGTAAGGAAGTGAAAAGGCGACCACACCTAGGGCTGGGAGTGTCCCTAGCCTTTTTCTACCCGACTTTTGATTGTGACTCACAAAAGCCCCGCCCCCTTTTGGATGTCAAGGGAAGCCAAACCGAATCGCGTCCATACACAGATTGGTTTCCCCTTCAGGTGCAAGTCGGCACAAAGATGTAATGCAAAAGAAACATTTCTCCGGGCCAGTGCACAAGAAGGAGGACCCCAACATGGTGGTTTTCCATTCAGTGTTGCTTTCAATATGGTGGTTCCCCTCCAAAAGTGGTCTGCTTGCAACCACTGAACCCCGAAATGGACCCCCCCCGTTAATGAACTGTTTTCATGAATAAGTGAATATGTATCTTCCAACATTGCACGGAATCTCAATACGGGTGTGTGTTTTTCTTTTAGGGGACACCAAAATTGTGGTTTTCCATGTACATTTCACTTTTTAACCCACAAACAAGGAGTTCCCTGGAAAAAGACACACCCATGCCAACACCACGCTTGAACCAAGCTAATACATACACCTGGGATGCTCCATACTCCAAACACTGACACATCCCCAATCAGTTAAGTACTGCGAAGGCAATTAAACATGGCAATCAAATATATGGCAATCAAATATATGGCAATTAAACATATGGCACTGACTCTCTTTCCAAAGCACCTGACTCTTTTCCAAAGCAACTATCAAATATATGGCGATTCAATCATATTGCCGGGTACTCATATGTCAATCAAATATATGGCAATTGAATCGGGCACTTCCTCAGAAGTGGTTCCCCTCCAAAAGTGGTCTGATTCCAACCACTACACCCAGAAATGGACACCCCCCCTATTAATAAACTGGGTTTCCATTAATAAGTGGAAGACTCATATGGCAATCAAATATATGGCAATTGAATCTGGCAGTTCCCCAGAAGTCAGGTCAAACACCTAACCCCTCTCTCGGTCAAACACCTGTTCCCCAGATATATGGCATTTGAATATGGTCAAACATTTGGCTGTAGGTCAAAATAAAAAGCAGCATTTTGGTTGGTAGGTCAATTCACCACCCATTGTAGGACCTATTTTCGTGCTTGGATTGAATCGGATGTAACCACTGGGGGCCCACCGAGTTGCTTTTGACCCGTGGCAGCGGATCGCGACTCGATTCGGAGCCTCGGGGAGGCCTCCATATCCCCGTCCAGCACCACCCGGCCCGAGTACTCGCTGAAGACCGAGGCGTAGACGCCACCCACGTAGGTGCCGTAGCTGTAGCCTAAGGAATCCATCCGATTTTACCCCAACAGGGTGGACCAAATTGAGGTGGACGTCAGATTTTGGTGGGGATTCAGGGCTACCACACACTTTTGAGGTGCTTCCAACTGCCAAAAAACCGTAAGTTGGAGAGCCTGAACCTCCTCAGAAACCTTCGGAAGTCAAAACAATTGGCAATATTGAGACACAAAAGTCCACCTCGTCTACCTTTAGAGGTAGTTTGCAAAAGTTTGGTCTCTCTCTGTCTCCAAAATCCCTTCGAAAGCTTGGAACTTTTGGGGTCCACGAAGCCGTAGACGTTCATCAAGTCCGCGCCCACCGCGCGGCGGAAGAAGTCGATATCGTAGGCCAGGAACTGGGTGCCCACGTAGCTCAGGAAGTTGTAAGTCTTGCCATTCCTCGGTGTTTTCGCGTGGGAAACCAAAGTTGACACCGGGAGCCCCATGTTGGGGATCAAATGATAAAATAATACAAGAGGTAGTGATAGATTCCCTTTGAAGGGGAAACTAACACAGTATTTGGTGTTTGTTGCCAAGTTAAAAGCAAGCCCAGGTGGTATCCCGAACAGCAACCCCAGGAACCCATCCGGAACCCTAGCTCGGAACCTCTCCAAACGGAGTCTATCTGGGCAGAGACCCCATAGCAATGTTGGCCATGGCCTCGAGGTGTCCTTCAAGCAGAAGTCTTGAGGCATCGGAACGAGCTTCTCGCGTCCCCCGAAGCCTCCATAGCAACAGCTTGCCTACGTCAAAGAACTCACCACCCCCTGGATTATACCCTGCGTGATTGACCCATAAGGCATCTCCGCGTGCCTGGACTGTCTATGCAACATACCTCTGGATCGCCAAGTTGCTGCCTTCCAGACACAACAAACGCGATAGGTTGGTGCCCAATTTTGCCTGTTGGGAAAGCTCATTTCCTGATTGGGTTCCAAACTTTTCTCTGCCACTACACTGGTCTACACCCCAAAAGTGAGGGAGGGGGAACCTTGATACGCATACCCCGCATTACCCCCGCAAATCCCTAGGGACCCAAAATCGATCAACGTGCAAAACTGACTCCGGGGCCTCGCCAGGATAGGACGATCGCACGCCTATTCCAAGCATTCATTTGTGTGAGGGGATCTTGACTTCTGACCGGTTCGGGATGTGTCCCTGGATATCCTGGGCTTGTTGAAATGCCTGAACAAAACCTGGGCATTTGGAGGGAAGGGAAGGCCTACCCGGGTACCCTCCAAATAGGTGACAAAACATGTGGTGGCTGGACCAAATCCATCAAAGGAATAAATACAGCTGGGATGCTCCAAGTCCCTTTGCAAAAGGTCGATCACCTTTGAGTAGGTTTAATAGAAAGCGTTCTTGCTTCCAAAAGGTCCCCAAAGGCGGTTGGGTCCAACAAAAAACCAGCCAATACGAACTAATACTCAACCAGTCCACTGGACCAATGGCAAACCAATACCAAGCCAATCCTAAGCCACCGCCGCCCCAAGTGGGTGTGCCTCTTTTTGAGAGAACCCCTTTCGTGTTTTCAAGGAAGGACGCCATTCTGGGGGTCCAACCTTAAAGAAGACACACCCAAACAGCCAGCGAGTCCAAGCATCTTGCCCTTCAGCTGAAACTTTGCGGATGCCGCGCAGCGCGGCCCCCACTCCTCAGCTTGAAAAAGCGACGTGTCTCCATGCAATTTCGTGAATAACTCGCATACCCCAGAAAACCTAGTTGGCCGGACAAGGATCATTCTAGACGTGCCCTCATTCTTTGTAATCCATTTCTGACAGTTGCTTCAAACCCGGCAAAATTGGCTGGGGGGGGGGGGGGGTTCCGGAGAAGGAACGATGGGTGAAGAGAATGGGTGATTAACCCCTCTGTATGGAGGTAGTGCACCACTTGAGGGATATGTACCGCGCTGCTGGAAACGCCCAACAAAGACGTGAGATACATGTACCGCCCTTAGTGAAACATGGCTCTGGTGGCCGCGTGTGGAAACATCAACACTGGCTCCATGGGCCAAGCCGCGTCCCGCTTCTCAAACAGGTTCTCCACCTGGCAATGAGAAATCCGACTTGCTCAGAAGCATCCCATGGCTTTTAAGGGCACCATTGCCCCCTTCACCCGGATGCTTTTTGGACACGATTTCGAAGACGGGGAAAACCCCCATTGGGGGTGAAAACTGACGTAAGGGACTCGCAGGCAAAGAGCACTCCTCGTTGAGGTCGCAAACCCCACGTGCGAGGTCGCGACAGTTGCTCAGAGCTAAGTACCCAAAACACACAAAGTGGTTGCTAAGCAATGGCTAACGTGCGAAACCGTCCAAACGCAGGAAGCTGGTGTCAGACGCTGTTGCTTGTCAGTGCAAGACACCCCATAGCATCTCCCTAAAGTGAATACTGTCAAAGCACGAGTGCCAACGAGCATGTCGCAAACCTTGGTGCCAACCGCGCTGGCGCAAAAACTAAACGGTGTTCTTTCACGGGACAATCAAACACAAACTCACTTCCTGAGTGGATTGCCCGAAAAAGCCTAAACTGTTCGTCCACCACTAAGATGGTCCAAACCCAAGTGACTAAAGTCCAGGAACTCAATGGAGGGGAATTGATCACGGAGAAACCCCTGAAGCTTCCCTCTTGTGAAACATTGGGAAAATTCACACCGGGAACCCCGCACATCCACACAGATCCCGCGGAGCGCATGGATCGAAGGGCTCCCAAATTTGAGAATCCCTCGCCCCCTACCTCTCACAGGCCGCCCCCCTACCCACCTTCCCCCATAAGGTTGACCCCGAATTAATAAATCCCTGTGTATTAATATGGGGGTGTTCACCTCCAAAGGTGATAAATCCCCACCAAAACCAGGGACACCCCCATATTAGTAAACAGGGGTTTATTAATCCGGGGTCAACACTATGGCCCCATATGCTTGAGAGGATTGCGCATCCACGCAGATCGCTCGGAGCGCATCCTCAAATGCTCAGTGGCCTGTTGAAAACAAGGCCATCCTTTTTTGGTTGTTTGACTTTAAAGGGACACCCTTCCAAACAAAAAAAGTTGAAAAAAGGAAGCAACCCACTGTGCAACTGTGTAGATGCACTGTGTAGATGTAGGAAAAACGAGCACCACTGGGCATCGATTGCATTGATCGCTCCGAGCGCATGGACCGCTCGGCGCCTGGGAGGCGTTCCGCGGGTCCACGTCCGCCCAGATCTCGCCCAGCTGCGGCATGCCGTCCGGCAAGGCGCAGGGGCAGTCCGTGAAGTCGCTCACGCGGCAGCCGGCTTCGGGACACCGCCTCAAACAAAACACACACACACACACACACCATGAAGGAAATATATATATATATATGTATGTGTGTGTGTGTGTGTGTCTTCTTCTGGGACCCCCAGATTCCGGGGCACCCGCAAGATTGCGGTTGTCCTTTGGGCTTCCGTTTAAAACCAAGCAAAATGGCGCACCCTCAAAACAAGGCAGACCCATATGTACGTACCAGCGTGAAAGTAGATGGCACAATTTCAGAACAAAATGTGAGTGAAGGGAATGTCTAAATCAAAATGATACAATTCTGCCCTGCACTTGCACCCAACTGTGGGAAGGACTCTTTTTGGGGTGTCTTGAAGTAGACCCTCAAAACTGTTGTTTTTGTTGTTCCCCATTTCCTTTGAAACCACCTACAACGGATACTATTATATTAAAAGCAGACACCCATATGTAATAGGCGCACACAAATGACATGCCACATTTCGCTGGGGCCTAGGACTTGGACTGAATGCCTTTGGTTTGCCTGGCTTGCAATGGCTTGCCTGCAGGTTAAGCCTACAACTTGAACCAAGCGGTCGTGACCGCGGCCCCCCCCCATTCCGTTTCCAAGGCGCTCGGGCAGCCGAGAGTTGTCGCAGTTCAGCGTGGGGCTGGCAGATCCTAAGAGGACCAAACTCAACTCAGCTACCATCCCATGAAAGCCGGCCTGAGGGTGCTGGAAGATCAATTCCTTGTTGGGGTATGTTTTTTGTTTACTTCCATGATTGTTGGAAAGAGGGTACCCCCTTAGTTGGTGGTTTCGATTGAGAATTTCCCCTGGCTAATGGGCAACTCCAGCTCCGCACCTCCACCAAACCTGGGCCCAAACTTCTGGCGTACACCGGGGGCAAGGCCCACGTTGCTTTGGGGAATGATGTAAACCAAACCACTGACGAAAATGCATGTATTTACCATGAACAACTTAAGTTGTCAAATATATTTTGAAAGCAGGTAGTAATCCGTTTAACAACCCAAGCCAAACACAGAACATGCAGGTTGAATCCTGTTTGGTTAACATGCCAATGCCCCAATATGCAATGCTATAGAGAAACAATTAGCTACCAGTACCTCTCCCTTGTTTGTGTTCGAACTCATTTCTCAAACTTGGATCTGATCAGTGGGAAAACTGCAGCTGCCAACAGGGACCAGCAAGGTCAGACTCTGTTCGACTCATGATTCACCAACATGGCGCTGTCACAGGTGTTGTTTCGGTAAGGTGATGGAACCCGGTGTTTTGTTTTGTCTTTTGTACTGTTTTTCTTTGCTCTGTTTTTCTTTTGGGGTGGGGGGGGGGTCGTCAAGAAGGAGCTTCCTCTAATGAGGGTTTGGGTTGCTGAGCAAACAAGGCTTCAGGGCCGTTGTCTACAGGGCATTGTCTAGAACAGAACGTCCTGATGGATTTTAATGGGGACTTCCCATCACAAGCCAAAGGCAACCTAAGCGAAACCCAACGACATCGGTTTTGAACATGGGAAAGCGCGTTAAAACGTCGGGTGCTTGAGGTGTCCACATCTTTCAGATATGGATGGACAAAAGCACGATCCACTTCGCAGTGGTTGGGATGGATGAAGGTTTATGGGAGTGTCTCAAAATGGCAAACCTTGTGGCATTAAATGGGAAAGCAACAGGAGACCAATCAATTTGAGAGGACCGTCTCCTTGGGTGTTCGGCCAAGATAGCAAGTTGTCGGTTAGCCAGGTCATAACCCACCCCTAAGTCCCTAAGTGGGGTTAACCTTGTTAGGTGGTCGTAACCCAAGCGGCTAACCGCTTACTAGCTTGGCCACGAAGATCCAAGTACCAAGTGATGCCGGTGGGATTTTGTCAGTCCGACGCCGACTGCGAGTGAAGGCTCCCATGCCCCGCTGGGTGATGGACCACACGTCATAGCCCTCCAGGTGATCCCCCCAAGTGTACCTCGCAAGCCCTCTCTCTGAGTGCCCGTTTTACCGATCTATATGGCTCAACATGGTTCTACCTGCATGGAACTCATACTTCACACCTAGTAGAACAGGCTGTCGAACAGCAGCTAGGCGCGGCATAATGACCTATGCCCATGGTGGTAAATTTAGTAAAGGTTTATACTTACACCATATTAGAACCCCTATATAACATCAGGTAGAGCCAACTTTTCAACAGCTTCCTGTGCCCAAGAGTAGAACTGACTCAAATGGCCAATAAAACCTTTGGGTGCTACCCACTTGTAGGAGTCCCTAACTCTAAGACTCTAAGACACCCCTTGATCGATCCATTTGTGCCATGAGAGTTGGTTGATAAAGCAGGTGGTTCTTAATCCTGGTTGTCCGCTATTGCAGTGGATACCTCTTTGTCAAGCAGTAGGAGCGGTACCACTCACTTTCTTGGCTGCCTTGTGGTTTCGCTCGTCAAGTGCTGCAATTCTCACAAAATATCCGCATGTTTGCAGGTTGTGATGTACCCTTGACTAAAAAAGGCGTCTGTTCCATGGAAATATGTTTTCTTTCAAGATGTACCTCACTTGGACCTCACTTGGGTTTTAGGAGTTGGCACACGACATTCTATAGGGCATGAGTCATCCTGCTGGATCTTTGGAATACCGGTTCCCTTTGGAGGGTGCGTTTCTTTATGTTCCCTTCACCACTTGCCGAGCACCAAAGTCCCCCCCCCCCCCGGGGACCAAGGCCCTTGCTTACTTGGCAGGTTAGCAAACATCCAGGAGAAGGGTCCCCAGAGGGGGGAGTGACTACAACAACCGAAAGAGATTTCGAAGAATCTGACCTGAATTGACTGGCCAGAAACAGTTCGATTGTTTTGCGCCTTCAATGAGCAAAGAGGTCAACAGTTTTCGCAACTCAACTGGTACAAGGATTCTCCTTTTGGCATGAATGAGCCGATGGAACCCGTCAAGGTCTCAGGGCTCACTGGAAACGGGTTACAATGTTCACCCCAGATCTAAATTGAAATTTTCCCACTCCCCTCCAAAAGTGATGGACTCCGCTAAAAGGGGACAGCCCTCGATCAAAATCAACCAGGGAGTCCACTTAGATCCGGTCTCCATTACTTGGAAGAAGCACGCAGTGCCAGAAGTTGAAGGTGGGTGTTGACCAGGAACAAGGGCACCTATTCGAAACAAGGGCACCCCTTCTGTTGCTAGTTAAAAAAAAATAAAAAAAAATAAAAATAAAAAATAAAACCTCAAAAAAGGAGGAAGCATTTTGGGAGAATCAGCCAAGCCATGGTGTGTGTGTGTGTGTTTTGTTGCACAAGAACCAAAAACCACGAGGAGAGTCTGGATCAACAAACTAGACCCGCCTCACGCAGCTCTTGTCGGAGCCAGGACCGCCGCAATGCACCAGCAGCACGCCTGCACCGGCAACTTGGACCCAGAAACCCAACCTGCGGGAGAAAACGACGTGGAGCCCTTTTGCCGGTTGATGTAATTCCCCCGTTTTTAGTGGGGAAAACACCAAAAGACAAGGGCAGAAGGTAGAAACAAAGGAGACCTGTTGCTTGTTGCTTGACCACTGAGGGGTAGATTCTTAGGAGGGGAGTCCTTTTTGGCCTGGGATTCAAACCATTAAAACAATGGATGGGTTTAAATAACCACCACTTACGGTTCAGGATTCTCGTCTAACAACTTGTGTCGAGTCTTTCTTGATTTTAAAACAAACACTTTACAACTATGTGGCCACGGGTCAAAAGCCCGTACCCCCAGCGAACATCCCAATCCCAACTAAAATAGACTAAAATGGGTGGTGCACCTACCCCAAAATGGCACCATTGGTTTGGACAACCACATGTGGCTGCTTCGCCATATTTCTCGGGTTGCGGAAAACTGTATTTGTTTTTCCTGGGCCCAAGGGGCCTCGTGTTTTTTTCTCCCCAAAAGGGGGCGCCTTGGGGCGCGGGCTGTGTGGCTGCGAAGCGCATGGCCACTGGAAGCTCCAGCTGAGGGCTGTCGCCGTCTTGAAAGTCCATGGGCACCTCGTGTCAGGGACTTTCCTTGGACCCCTCCCAACCAAAAGTTGCATCCCCGAAATTATTGTGATGTGAGCAGCTCAGAAGGTTCTAAGGTTCTGGCAGTCCCGAAATTTCTAGCCACATGATCAAAACGGCGCGTGTCCCCGGCCATGGGAAAATCTTCTCTGGGCTGCCCTCAGATCCCCCGCTCAAAGTGACTAGCTTTGAGTGGGTCAGATGGAAACTACCACTAAACACCAAAAGGCTAGAAAGCTAAGGGACCGGATGGCTGGGAGCCACCAAGAAAAGCATCCTGAGGGCAGGGGGGGAGGGGGGAGGGAGGGGGGTCGGCGGGATGTTGTTGTTTTCAGCTCGGTACCTTCTTGCGCTTAGAGGGAAACCCCAAAGAGACACCGCCATTTTGTGGGAGCCCCGATTTTGAGGGGACCCCTACCAAACAAGGCAACCAAAGGATCCCGATCGCCCCTAAGCCTTAGTCGCAAAGATTTGGCCGCTATTGGGATTGGGGGGCCTATGGGGGAAAGCAAAACTGCGTTTCTTTGGTCTATGGTCCTGGTTCGTCAGAACACGCTTCAGTTCGCATCTTTGGCAGCGAATTTAGGTGGGGGTACTCCACAATGGTCAGCGGTCATGGTTCCCTGAATAGCAAGTCAGGGTGCTTACCAGGTAGGGGAATGGGAAACGGGGTCCCCGGAAATTAATTGGCAAGGCTTGCCTTTTAGTTTCACCAAGAAACAATCAGCACAAAATCAAAAACCCATCCATTTGAGAACCCCCATATGAGAATAGTGTTTTCTTGAGCTCGGTACTTGTTGCGGCGGTTTCGAGGGACACCAAAAGACGAATCGCCACTATTTGAGGCGAGGCCCCCCTGTTTTGAGCAGTTTTGACTCTTGACACATAGTCACGTGTGAGTCGCAATCAAAAGGATCGACCCCAAGCCATGCCAAGGGCGACTGCACCTGAACATGTTGGTCGGAACTGCCCCATACGAAACCATAGGTACTGGTTGTCTTTTCGTTTGTTTTGTGAGGTGCACAGGTTGCTGTAGCATGTACCCCATGTGGCCCTTCGAATTTCCATTTGGACCCCAAGGAAAGACACACCAACGTTGCGATAGGGATCATCCCTCAAAGGACACCGGCTGGGGGCAGTCAGAAAATCGCGCGCAGATACAAGCTGATTTGGAGATTTCTTGTAAAGTAGGTGGTTTTTGACGTATGCCTTGTTGTCCATAGTTTTCTGTGTCCAAATACAAATTGCTAGTTGCCTGGCCTGCCCATCATGATTCCAGGGTGTTACGACGAGAAAGGTTAGACAAACAGCTGCGGCAGATTCAAGACTTCGGCCCCGAAGCACCCGTTTGGGGACTGTGTTGAATTTTCTCTCCGTAAGCATCATTGAACCCTCCATTGAAGGGGCCAGGACCTTCATTGGAAGGTTTTGAACCTCGAGAAAGGCCTTGGTGAGAAGCCAATATTCTTCGGGCTAACCTCACAGCATCTCATTGTGCGAACCACGCCTGAGTCTGGCTGAAAAACATGTGCAGGAAACCAACCATAGGGGACCGCCATGTTGAGACAAACCCGATAGTTTCAACAACCTTCTTTGAGGGTCTGGTTCAAATAAATTCTCGGGACCCAACCGACCCATGCCCCGAAAGCGACCGCGCCTTCAGGGTGCCCTCAGACAGGCCGCCGGCTGAGGGCGTCCTGTCCAACCCGCGAAATCGAACTCCCGGGGCAGTCGATCGTCAGCGGGACTCTGGTGAGGGGATCGGCTTGGAGGTGGGCTGTACGTGGGGGGGGCCAGGGGGGGGGGGGACGAAGGAAGATTTCCCTACATATTGCAAGCAATCCTTATATGCTATCCTTTCTTTACAGGAAACCCCAAGGCGCTGTTTGGCGGCTTGTACTTGTTTCCGTGGGTGGAGAATCCCCACTATGGTGAGCCAAACGCATCCACCAAAACCATGTTGAATTGCAACAAATGGCGGGGGTTCCCGCATTCTCTCTTTTGCTTTTGGGCATCCAACAGACCAGTCACAAGCAAAACAGGCCTTGGGGTAGAGAAAAGAGTCCCATCCTGATCTCTTCTCTTGTGTTTCTTTTTGCAAACCTGGCCTTGGGTAAACTCCTTTCACACCAGGATGTGCTTATCGCCCAACCAGCCTCACCTTGAACATCCCCCCGAATTGGTGGGTTAGACTGGATTAAACAGGCTGACAATGTTGAATGAGTTTCCATTCGGTGCGAAAATAGTCTGGAAAGAGTCGTCGGGATGTTTGAGTCACTCGAGTCGCTGGTTGTTGTGCAGTTGTGTAGTATCCGAGCGCAACGGCTGATCGCGCTACTTTGGTATTTGGTAACTAAATGGAATGCCGAAAGCCTCATGGGTGTGTGTGTGTGTGGCTGCGCTTTTTGAGGGAACCCAGATCTGCGAAAGCTTAACTGGGTTGAATGGAACCCAACCACTAAACCCAAAAAACATCAACTAAAAGCCTCAGGAACCGGACAAATCGCTGGGAACCACCTAGTGAGTTCTTCACGGTTGCAGGAAGGGTCGATCAGGGAGGTTGTAGGGCTGCCACACTGCCGACCGTCCGTTCACTTCGCTCAGTCGTTCCTCGGCCCATCTCTGGGTACACAAACACAACCCTGTTGTCAGATTCCTCAACTTTTGGTCTACCCTAAAATATCAATGGACTGGATGTGTCAAAAAGGGGGGGGGGGCTCACACAACTGTGGCTTTGCTCTTAGTTTCCCTTTACAAAAGTAAGCCCGGGTCGTATCCCCAACAGCCACAGAACCCCTCCAAAACCCTCCCCGAAAGCTGCACCAAACCACCCCAGAGCTTTTCTGGGCCTATCCACCCCATAGCTTTCAGCTGTTTGGGGGAAAAACAACACCACACATTGTTTTGGAGACCCATTCGCGGGTTCGGTCCCGTGCCATCGCAACACCGCGGGGTCTGGCGACAAGGAGGAAAAGCCGCGGACGCTCTTGCTGCGCTGCTGCAGCAGCACCAGGCAATCCTCCTGCAAACCCGAGGATTGTTTTGTTATTGTTTTTTTCCATGGGTTCCAAAGCATAACAGCTTAGATGCTACAGACATGAAGGTCCGTTGATGCAAGCTGGAACCTATTTGCTAGAACCCTCTTAAGGTCCCCTGATAAAAAAAGGAGCGAGAAGGCTGGCTGTATATATCCTATCAAACCCTCGGAGTAGTGGTCGGGGTGTAAAGGACACGCACAGTCGTGATATGTGCCCCACGCTACAAGCCATTTGATAGCCAGTGGTGGGGGGGGGGGTCCTGGTATGTGTCTCTTTTTTTAGTATCCCCACGCAAATCACTACAATCCCCCTTGAACATCACCCCAGAGGCACCAAATGGCCCAGACCGGCAGTGGCGATGAGCAAAAAACAAATATAATATGCTGTGTTGTGTTGGTAGTTGATTTTACAGGGGGGAAGTGTCCATTCTTTGCATCTAGGACACAGTTGCTTCTTTGCCAATTTTGCTGCAGAGGTGTAAAGTCATGATTCTGACTATGGCTGTAAAACAAGATTAAATATATGTATATATTATTTGATTGCATGTCTCCTTCCAACACCACCAGGGGCATTCCAAAATGGCCTCCCCCCACAAACCACACACACACACCCCACACATCTGTTGAAGGATGTATCTGGCTTTTGGGTATGCGTCAAATCAGGATCCCCCAAAAACGGCTTCGGTTATCCCCTATGGTTTCCCTGCACGCCAACCTGAAGCTCAAAAACACAAATCAATGTTGGCCCCGGAGGTCCTCCAAAAGGCCGATGGAAGTCATTCAATCAGCCCCACATTGCAGGTTAGGTTTTGTAAGTAGTTCAAAGGCGCCGAGCCCTGTTTGTTGCTGCAAAGGGATCCCCCTCCAAACAAGTTGAGAAAAAGGGACATTCCCCTGTTCAGCGAAACAGTAGCCGTCAGGTTGGTTGAAAGCACCATTTATTGGGGTCCTCCTATACAAAGAACCTCCCGAACATGTCTAGCCCCCCTCCTCCTCGCAGGCGTAAGCCAAGCCGACAACTGCCGCCAAGCGCCACATGGCCGGGAAACGTTGTTTTCCCCTGCCGGAAAAAAAATCGGCGCTTCAAGTGGTTCGGGTTGATCCGTTTCTAGTCATTTCACATGGTGCTTTTGAGAAACCGAAATTCCAAGGGTCTGAGCATTTTCTCAGACAAAGGATCACTGGAAAGAAAAAACCGGTAAATGGACCAATCATTCAACGTCCAAACTTTGCCTATCTCTACCAGGTAAAACACATACCACTTGCAATCTCAGCCAACATTGTTTTGGCAGACAAAGATTTAAACTTGCTGAACTTCGCCCACCGGTAGTCTGGGTTTTGCTCTGAATCCTTTCTCTTGAAACCGAAGCTATCGTAGCCCTCATTCCATGGTGGCACTTCATCGCATTTTCGTTATGCCGTTCGCACCATTGGCTTTCCAAGATCGCTTTTTGCTTGAGAGGATCTGGCGGCGTGATGCCGAGGTGAAGAGGAAAAGACATCGGATGCCGCCCTATGCCCCCAATAGCGCCCGCCGTCGGCCTTTTGCCTTTTTAGTCTCCCTCCTCCCCCAAATACAAGTTGGATTCTGGTCTGGATTTCGCCAACTTGATTCTTTCGCTGAGACCCCACAAACTGGGGGGGGGGGGGAGGGGGGGCCGAATTCGGTTTCTTGTGGAAAGAACAACTCCAAGCTGCACCATGCTGATGCAGGATGTCAACCTGAACTTACGCTGAGAAACCTGTTGCTTTTCGCACCTATACCCAACATATTTAGCGAAGGGGCTAGTACAAGGACTTAAACAAATGACAAACAAATGATTCTCTTATCACTTAGTTCATCTTAATTCTTCCCATCGCGTTGGAACTATGAAACCCTACTCCCCTGCATTTGTGCACATGGAACCCAAAAAGGGGTTCCGATTCCCAAGAGGAGCTTGTGAAAATATGATGCTCATCTGCGCAGGTGGTGGGCAAATCTCAAATCCTCGAACCAACTATTTGTGGTACACCAACCCGCATTCAAATCAAGTTTCATCCATTCAACTAGTGCGTATTGGATTTTGTCAATCTAGTTGCGCTAACAGTTGAGCCAACCAGCACCCGACTGCTTGGACGTGGGGTCGTGGACGGGGTGCAAATGCATCCGACTGCATCAAAATGGTGGATCCCCTTTTCGGTGCCGTTTGAAGGAAAGGGAAGAAAAAACAACATAGAGGACCCCCCTAAACAAAAGAAACACATTTGCTTGACATAGACGCTAGAACAGTCATTGCTCATTACCTAGGTCTGTCCTAGACGTGGGGAAGGCCCTTTGAGTCATACTCAAAGGCTGGTATTCAAGGAGGGTTTCGATTGTCACACCGTCCAGTGGTTCCCAAAAGCCATGAGGTTTTCCCTATCCAACATGCGGTTCCCAATATTTGGCCACACTCAACTGACCAGATTGGACGGACCTAACTGAGCGCAGGGCATAGTTCAGATAGTCCTGCCGCACAGGTTCTGCAACATCTTCAGAGAAGATCATTCCTTTTGTCAACCTCTATTCCCTCCTTGACTGGATCGGGCAAGTCCAAATTTGTATCAACCGAAAAACAAAAACCTAGGGAGTCTTGAGGCATCAACTACGCTCAAGCCACACATTTATAGGAAGCCCTGCGACCCCTTCTGGAGAAGAATGACAGGCCCCCTGTCAGTATTCTTCCCCGGCAACTGCACGGGCTTTGAGATTGCTGATAGAAATCAGCGAAGGATCTTAGGATAGAGGAGCTCTGCACGGATCTGGCGGTCCGGTTCAGCATCAAACCCTAGAAAACTGGCGGAGAGCCGCCACCTGTGAACCTTTCAACTCTTGGTAGCAAACAACGTGGCCTTGTTTTCCAGCACCCTACCAAAGTTGAACAGAACCCAAAAACAAATAGACTATCCTAAGAATCTTGGTACCTCAACAGGTGCCTTGAGGGTCCAGGGTCAAAAGCATGGAGTGACAAAAAGACTCGGTCTACCCTGGCGCTCACCCAAAGAAACCCAGCCCCTTCGTCTCACTTCCAATCGAGTGGATTGGAGAAACAAAAACAAACAACTTGTTCTTTCAAGTCTAAACCATCCAAGGTAAACAACTTGCTGTTTGACCAATTTGCTGTTTACCACCCAAAATTGACTGACTTGTTTGCCATCAACAACTGATTCTTGTCATGTCCAAAATCCCAAGTCTGAGCACTGTCCAACACGCAGTGGTTGGGACCCGGGTGCTACCCACTCCTGAGGCTGCCCAGGCATGCGCCTCAGGCGCAGGCGAAGCTTTTGAGGACCCATTTGGGGGATGGTTTAGGGGGAGAGCAAAAGGGCAACCTGCTTTGTTGATGTTTTTGTTGCTTTTACTTGTGTTGTGGTGGGGTGGTCCCCCTATTTTGAGAATCAAAACCTGGTATTCAAGTGGTGCAAACCCACCACTCAGTGATGACTCAGGGCGGATATCGGCACCGAATTCTACGGTTGGGCCTGACGCGGTTCATGTTCCAGGATTGTTCAGCCCACTGCCCTAAGAAGAATTGGACCCTCCATTAAAAGGTTTCGACCTGACAAGACCCTTGATGTGGTCCAACGACTCTTAGGACAAGATTGTCATGTGTCGCCTTTGAAGGGGTCCGCAAAAAAGAGTTGTCATGTTGTTGCCTTCCTTAAGCAACTAGGCAAGCGAGCCACAAGGGAAATCAGCGAATTACCATGAATTCTGGGTGCTGTACTTGCAACAAAGGCCTACAGTCGAGTTTGAAGCCGGGAAACACCTGTTGTCTCAGCTTGCTTTGTGGGCAGCTTGCGTGAAAACCCCTCAAACCCTAGCCTCCTATTCCATTAAAGTAGACAGCTTCTTATGTATCCCCCACCTAAGGACGCAGGCCAGAAACAATCACTTACAGCTCACTTGCTAGAACTGTCTCCCTCCTGGGTGCAAAATAGGGTGCCTGCCAAAAAAAACAAATCCATGCCTATGGGTGTCCGTTCTTTGCTAAAACAAATACGCTTTTTTGCCTTTTTAATTAGCACTCATCATCTAAAATCTGGATGACTGACCGATCTCCTGCGCGAAGCGACGGTGCGACATATGGACGTATTGTCAAGGCTCTTTCCAACAATCTGGTACTCTTTCGACTCACAAGCCCAGTGGTCATGCGAGTGCGAGAAAAAAGAAAAGAAAACGGGAACCCTGTTCTTGTTGGTTGATGTTAAGAGGAAGCCCTTCCCAACACAAATAAGCGTTGGTTTGTAGTCCCCTTACACTTGAGTTGAAGTTTGTCAAGCTTCCGCGGACCGTTCTGCATTCCTACCACGAGCCAAGCGGTCCTTTCCACGGACTTCCGCGGCACATCTTTTTCATCTATTTTCGCAAACCTTCCATGGTGCAGCGCAGGTTTTACATAATTTGCTTCGCGAGGATTGACACAGAAAGAAGAGTCAGCTTAAGGAAGAAAGCAAAGCACTTCTTGTATCAAACCACAAAGCTTTCGCAAACCTTCCGTGAAAGAAACCCCTTCCGCGAAGCCTTCCGCAAGCATCCGTGCTGGCACGGTACACATATTCAAGAACATGTCCCTCTCCATTGCGCGCCAAGAAACAAACACCGCTCAAATCACAACTCAGCTCCTAAGAGGGTTGGTCAGACAAAGCTTGCCACTGAAATCATCTTCCCCCAAACAAATTCCGTTATCAGGAAAAGTAAGTAAACCACCCCCCCCCCCCAACTTTACTGCTTTTGGCACCACCAACACACCAAGCTGGCCAAAACGCAGTCGATGGGGGGTGCTAGGACGTCTGGCGGGGTCCATGATTTCCGCTTCCATGATCGGAGGAAGGGCGGAAGCAGAAAGGACATGTTTCAAGAACAACTTTGGAGAGTTTCTATAATCCAGACCTGAGTGTAGGCAAAACGGCATGCCCCGTGGCCGCCTGAATGGAAAGGAAAGCAACACGCATGAAGCAAAGCAACAAGCAGATACTACAGGCCGCATTTTAATCCAATTTTGCGCTTTGGCCGCAATCTCCGTCATGACAACCCCTGGTAATTAATTCAGGGACCATGTCAGCAACATTGGTTCCAATTGTTCGTTGTGAAATGGACAGCTTCCATTTGCCAGAGGGCACTGCAGGGCGGCCGTTATCCTCCCCCATGTTCTTTCCGCAGCGGCCTCGCTTCCACATGGAACTCACAAGAAGGTCTGTCAGGCAAGGTCTGTCAGGCACTTCCCTTTTCATGGATCCGCGGGCAATAAACCTCACATAGAAAAACTAAATGCAAAATCGACTACCGAAGGGGCGCATCTTCTGTCATAGTGCCCTGTGGACACCGCGTATCAATTTCGACCGGCCCCGACTTCCGCCCACTTGCAGTCCAGGCGGCTGCAAGGAATACTCAAAGTCGCGGCGCCGCTTGACGATTTGCCTCCGAGGACAAGGTGACAAGGGCGGCTTGCATGGAGTTCCCCTCCAGTTGATCGAGTCAAGGGGGGGCGTGTCGACAATATCACTTTCAATCTCAAGTGGAGAGGTCTTCCTGGAAACAAGAATACGGCGGAGATCGAGAATGTCTTCCGACAAGGCAATGTATGGAAGCTCTGCTTCATCCTCATCCCCGTCTGCCCTGGCTTGTTTCGCCAACTTCAGACGTCTGGTCTTCATGTGCTCAGACTCCCTAGCAGACCGGAGGTCCATCATGTACTCAAGCACTTCCAGAAGTGCATTGGCATTGGCCCCCGCAGTCTCGAGGATGCTGAGATCCGGCCGCTTCACGATCTCGTCCACGTATGAGTTGCATGTGCCTGCGAACTCTTTGGACAACTCCTCAGAGAGGGCATACAGCTGTGCCCACTCAGCATCATGCTCCTCAGCTTTTGCTGCGGCCTTCATCACATTCGCGATCTCCTCCAATCTTGCGGTGGTGAGTGTGAGTGCCCAGCTGAAAAATTGTTCTGCCCGGTAAAAGGGACTGCCTGGATTTCCCCAGTTGCTCGACTTCATGGTGGTTTCCATTGAAATCGCAAAGGGGTCACTGGATTTCCCCGGTTGATCGACTTACAGGGAGGTTTTCCATGGAAATTGCAAAGGGGTCACTGGATTTCCCAATTTGATCAACTCACAGGTGGTTTTCCATGGAAACAATCGCCACGTTTGAAGATTCCACAAGGGGAAATTCAGGGACCCCTGTGGTAGTTGGCTGGTTGGTTTCCTTGTAAAAGGTCCCTTTCAGGGAAAAACGAAGCGCCCAACTGCAACGCATTGAACATGCACGCTCTAAAAGGCTTGATCACAAGGAGCAAATATGGCGTCTGGAAAAGGACAACAAAATAAGTCTATCTATATATATATATATAATATGTATATATATATACATATGTATATGTTTCGTATATATGTATATGCACACATATGGGTGTCTTTGGTTTGAGGCTCGGTACCCTCGTTTCACCTAGATCTAACATCATGCTACCTGTTGCCCTCATGGGCATGTCACAAGCAAAAACACATCAACGTCTGAAATGTGACGGCGAAACCACTGACAAACAGGGACATCTACTTGGGCGGTCGGCAAAGGTAATCCACGAATCCTTCCCCAAGACGTATGAATGCTGTGTGGCTACTCGCATGATTGCTAGGAAGCTCATGGGGACTACATATCATCATACCCTTCCCCCAACAAAGTCAAACATATTCAAGGCACCGCCAAAAAAACAGTCATATGAGTGTCCAGGGCTTCTTTTAATAAAACACAGATTTATGCGATGGTCAGGAATCGGCACATTGCTTTATACGCTGGTTGGTTTTGATTGGGGCGTGTCCAATCCACTCAAAATCCATTGACTTGTGGTTCTTCCAACATGGTTGTAAAGGTTTACATAATCATGGAGCCGTGTCTACAACAACACAAACAAACACAAGGTAATCGAACCGTCTACCAAAATCGCCCAAAAGGCAAACGATCGGAAGAACCACGATCGGTGGCTGCAAGACTTCGCCCAAGTCTACACCAAATGTTCTGCGGTTCCCTGCAAAAGTGATGAAGCCCCACTCAAAAGAGCTATTATAAATCAACCAGGTGCGGTTCACACTATTGCGTCTACCCTAAAATTCGTAATACATACCCCAGGTTTAAGTCCGGCAAGGTATACACGGAAAAATGACATGATCCCCCGGAGAGACAAACGAGACTTTGGGGTTTCCATCGTAGGTGGCCCTTTGGAAAAACATAGATGGGAAATGAAATAGCGCCCATCTAAACCAGTGCCACCTATTTCTAATCAAACTACGGCCCTTTCCAAGAGGAAAGTAGTCGTTCTGCAGGGGTCTGTGCACTTCCATGTTAGCTGGTGGCAGGGTAACCTAAAAAGGACACCTCTGGTTTCCATGTTCATCTGCAGGTCAAGTTCGGCAATGGCCTGATCTCCTTCTCCGAAAAGATGTTCTTCCGCCGGAGGTCGTCCAACTCCGGCACCATGTCCTGCGCAAGAAGGACATGGCCCAGTCTCCATTTGTGGGTGTCTTTCTGTTTCAGGGGACCCCCCCAAAATGGGCATTGCTTCCTTTTGGTCTCCCTTTAAAAGCTACAAACACAAGTGGCTGTGGGTCAAAACCAATGGTACCATTTTGGGGTAGGTGCACCACCCATTTCAGTCGATTTTAGTGGGGATTGGCATGTTCACTGGGGGTACGAGATTTTGACCCATGGCCAAGTGCCCAACAAAAAATAGACCCATGGCTTGGCGCACCGCAATTTGTCACCAGCCAGGCTGTAGCTTCGCCCTGAATTTCGATCTGAATTTCCCCTGAAACATCTCGAGAGGAAACTCGACGATCGCTCCAACCGGCAATGTTGAAATTTGCTGAAAAGGGACCATCTCGGAACCCACGTGTTCACTCTGGAATACCTGGAACCTTCCCACGACAGCGTTTCCCAGATACAAAGTGCCAGTGCTGTCCAAAAAACATGTGTGTATATGTCTATATATACATATTCTATGGAATGAAGCAACAAGGGAAAAAGAGTAGAACCCGCTGGACAGAGTCCCTATCCCTCTTCCAACCAGCCGTGGTGTCTGGGTCTCGCCAAGGTCCGACCAAGTGACAACTAGCGAAACTCAGGGACTTGTTTACCAAACTGGTCACGGCGAAGGAAAAGCCCTACCCCAATTGACCGGCATTGCCTAAACTGGCAACTCACTCTACAGAGGCCTTCTTGCAAAACCCGGAGGCAACAGGATCCGGGTTCAAGCTTTGCCTTTGGAGCACATTTCACTCTTAGGGGGGCCCTTATATTTCCCCGAGGAGATCAAAAGGCCAACCCTAAGAAACCTGTGGAGCCCTTGGTCTCGGGAACGTACCCACCCACCACTCTTTAGGGATTCTACATCAGGGGGGAAACACCACAGGACAGCTCAGGGCACCACAGGACTGGCTGTTCGTTCAAAGGGAGGATCCGACAAGATCGGCAAACGATCTTGAAACTTCGTCCCTTGCAAAACGGAAAATTTCTACCCTCTTGGTTTCATCTCTTGAAGCCATCTCTACTCTTGGTATGGTAGCGAAAAACTTTGTTTTTTGCAGACTTCCAGTAAAAATGAACAGAACCAAAAAGCTAAAAAACAAAAAAGACATGCCAAGAACAGTGAAGTGCACGTATTGTTTCATTCGGTCTCCCTCCCAAACGTTATTGTTAGCCCTCAAACTTCAATTGGGGCTTCATGGAGCGTCCAAGGAGCCCGGATTTGTGTTACGTTCAAAACGAGGAATCTTCCGATGGCCAAAAAAAAGCTCCAAGCTTCTTCTTTGCCACTAGCATTGACTTCCCTACAAAAATATGTTTTAGCTTGTGTGTGCGGATTACTCTGGCCTGGCCCAGGACGTGACCACAACTACACAGGACCCACCAAACCTCAAGACTGCGAAAGTAGAAAGTCCAGGAACTCAGGAAGTGACAGGAAGTGAGACAAGAAATTAGCGCGAAGGAAAAGTGTCCAATGAGGACCCCCCCCTTTTGGATGGTTCACGAACGGCCAACCACAAGGGTCTATGTCTACCTTGGGGAAATAAGGCATTGGCAAACCCGGCTTAAGTTGGACCCAGTGTTCACGCACTTCAAGCTGGACCCGGGACCCTGTTTCCGTTGCCGACCAAAGCCCATTGACTGGTGGTTCTACCAACATGGATATTAAGGTGTCAATCTATCCATATATACATCCTGGCACCCCGTATGGCTGTTATTATTATTAATATTATTATTATTATTATTGTTGTTTCCGGTCAAACTCCCGTATTTGGCCGTATTTGCCTGCATGGCAATGTGTTTTCGGTCATTTGCGTAAATCACCCGGATGAAACCCATATTTTTGCGACATGTTGTTGAACAAAAGCCGTAAACAAATGTATGGTTCTTTTTTAGGTCAAAGGCGTATGACCCAAAAAAGAACGGCCAAATGGGGTCCCAGGATATATATATATATATCAGGCTTTCCACAACCCCCGTGAAACAAGATAGGAACCGGCAGTGGGAATCGGTTGTGGGCCTTGCTCAAATGGAACTCGGATCTCTCCTGAAGGACCTGCTCCACCCTGTCCGCCATGGCGAGAATTCTCTCCCGTCGCTTTCTCGGCGCTCCGCTCTCGCTTTGCGTGCGAAAGCGAACGAATCGGTTGGACACAGGGACCAAAACGGGGGCCCCTAGCAGAGTAGTCCTTCCGAGATGTCAGACTTCAAGAGAAATTTGTCCTTCAGTCAAGTTGTTTGGAGAGCATGTGAAGAAACTTGCTGCGGGGCGCCACAGATTCTTCCAACAAGCCAGTCTAAAGAACACAACCGCCTGTGAAAGCTACGGCACGGTTGGCCGGCTGGGCAATTTGGAGTTGGGATTGCATGCGCGTGAAGATAGTTGGGCCTGAACCACTAGTACGGTGTTGTGCCTGGACGTTGGGCACCCAACAAAACAAATTATGTCATGACCATAAGGAAATCATGCTGTATTTCCTGTTACTAAGTACATGTCAAGCTTCAAAGAGCATGGCAAGCTATAAACTGAACATCCCCAAACAATGCGCTTGATTACTTCACGCGAGAAATGGACAGCAAAGGATGGTACTTCCTTCCCGGTCAGACTTGAGATCATGGTGCTGGGTGTTGTCTGAAAATAGGGGCACCCCGAAATTGGTGGGAACCCCAAATAGGTACCCTCCAACCAAACACACCCTATTCGAGCCAGAAATGGCTTAAGGCAAGCGCGCCTCGCAGCAGCGGACAATACCTGACCTGCCTTCAATGATGCCTGGGTGAAACATGAGCATAACGGACCCAAATGAACAGGAGAGTATTCCGAAATAGTTGAACAGTTCTTTGAAACAAACATAATTCCTAGTTGCGCATGGCCATGACCATTCTACCCTGCTTGCGTACGCGACACACATCATCAAATCCATGTCATTGGCAATGCCGGAGTCCGGCTCCCGTACCAACTCCAGGTCAAGAACCTTGACAGCAAAAACGAGCGGTGCGGCAATGATTCAAGAATTTGTATGTAAAAATAAACGATGGCCAACTAAAAAGGGGCCCTGCTTGGGTTGAACTATTTGTAGTGGGTAAAACGGTAAAACATTCAACACAGAGGGGAAAAGGGTGCCACTGACCAACTGGAAGCATTCAAGGAAGAGATGCGCTTCCCTGACAGAAGGGGTGATCCTCTTTACTCCAAGACGGCTTGGTCTTTTCTTTTTTAATCGCGGATTGTAACCCAACTAATCAAAGGACACATGGGCTTGTCTTTTTAGGGACCCCACCAACATGGATATCGGCTTTCCGTTTCGTTTCCCTTTCCAACCGCCCCACCCTTTGCCAAAGACGAGTCACCATCCCCTTGTTCAGGCCACTTTTCAAGTCCTCTTGGAACTTTTACTTGGGTGTTTGTTGCCAAGTTGTATCAAAGGATTTTCCTATTACTTTCTGGGATTGCACCCTATAGGGAAGTTACCAAACTAAAAACAGGTTTTAGCTGGAAATCGGTTAGGTCCCCAGAGGGCTTAATCCCAGGACGAAATAGGAACACCCTTGGATACGGTGAGGTCACAACCCACTTTTGAGTCCTCCGTTCAGGGGGGGGTTATATAGCCTTGTGAGGAAATGACATATCCTAAGTGGCAAAAAGGGAAACATAGTGAAACCAAGAGGTCGGCTTTTGGCAAGTGAGTAGAGGGAAACCAATAAGAGGTTTTAAACCACAAATGTTCAAACGTCTGAATTAGCAGTGGGCGACCCAAAGCGGTGGACATCAGAATTCTGCCTGAAAAACACGTCCGCCAACTACTGAGATGACTTCAGAAAAAGTTCAATTTGTTTAAAGCAGGTGAGTGAAGGGGGGGTCCCTAGCCACATGCTTAAATCACGTTTTGGCCGAATCCTACCTGATCGCTCGGTGATTTTGCGGTCGGGCTGGGTCTCAGGGCTAGACTCAATGAAAACCCTGGCGCCTGTTTACCCAGGAAGCTTCCCGCGGACGCATCCATGACCAACTTGTCGCAGCACTGCATGTGCCGTCAGGCGAATCATAAGGCCCCCCCCCTACCAACCAGAATGGCTCTGAAGCAGGTTCTAAGACCCCCCCACAAGGGAAATGGACATGAACTTGCTGGTGCTCAGGGAATGACCCGGGTGTTGGGAATGGACCTAGGGAGTGCCTTAAAGGAAACCGTAGGGGATGGTATGTAGTGGTCATTCCCTAAGTCAATCTCCATACTGAGAAACATGGGGGAGATATGCGGTGCAACATGGAACCACGCTGGCAAGCAGCAACACATGCAGCCCACCTTTACCCAACCCACCAACCCATACCCACCCATACCGGCCCGCCCAAACACACACTAGGGATGCTTCAGCAGGTGGACCTCAGAGTTCGCTTTGGCCCAGCAGCAATGGCCATGAGCCACTCTCAAACTCTTGTTGCTTCCCCAAAAGCACCTGGCAAGGTTTTTTCCCCGTGTGTTCCATGGGGCTTTTCTGGGAATTCTCGTGGGTTCTCACATGTGCCTCCCCTCCGAAATGAAGCATCGACAAGTCCAGCAATGCTTCCCAGTCCTCATCCTTGAGGTCCTGGACGCCGAGGGGACATACAACAAGTGGGTCTTCTAGTCCTATGCGGTTGTCACTCCCAGATCGGGGCTATGGGGAGGTCCCTCTTTTTCTGGAGATGGCAAGACTTCCTTTCTTAGCTTGGCTTATTGGCCTCCCTTGACCCCCTCCAACAAATGCAGCTGGAGGGCTAAGGTTGTGTGACGCCCACATGAGTTGGAGACAGAATCAGGTCACATGTCACATGGTTGCTTCTCAAACAATAGACCCTTCCAGTTGTTTGGCCTCCTTGTTGGCTTCCCTTCGAAACCACCCAAGGGACCACTATTTTGAGAAACACCCACATCAATGCATGGCGGGGTTGCCAACCGTATGACCCCTGTTTGGACTCTGGTGCCAACCGTATGACCACCTTGTACTGCCTTTGCCCAAAACGAATCTCCTGATTTCGACAAACACCACAAAGCTGTGTGTGTGCTTGTCTTAAAACCCACCTGGACACGCTCAAATCCGTGGCCCCATGCTGGGTCCTTCCAAAGGCTCCTGGCATTCGTTGTTAAGCATCCGCCCCCCCCCCCCCCGCCCCCCACGCGGTTCAAATCCAAAGCCGACGCCTCTTCTGCGCCTTCCTGTCGGGCCAAGATGGTACCCGCGAGGAAAAATCACTTGGCACACAAACCAAAAGCACGAATCAGGTCCATTTAAAGCCGACACTTCAAATGTGAAATGGGAAACAAAAACAATGTGCTATCGTTTTGCGATTCAGGCCCATAGATTTAGTCTGCCCTAAAATGTACAACATTTGTTGGAGGAGACACCAAATCTCCCGCGTGCTGAGAGGACTCTATTGCCACTTTGTGTGGGCAGCCAAACGTGTCTTGCCCAAAAAAAAGAGCACACATTTGGGTGTGTCTTTCTTGTTGCTCAAAGCAAGCGTTTCTTGAGCAAATCACCGCAAGTAAGTTGCCCTCCCCCATTTTTCCTGCGTCCGACTTACTTCTCAAGTCGGTGCAAAGCCACATGACGATGCCAAATGCCATGCGGAAGCTCCCGGGGGAGTTTAACAAAGGCCTCCCGGTTTGGCCTGAGATCCGCCAGAGTGGCGAAGTCTTGGGACGCTGAAAAATCGGCGCCTGGACCCTGCACCCTGCCGAAATGGTGTTGAAGCTCAACACAAAAAGGGGTCCACCCCCGTTTTTGAGGGTCCTGGAGACTGCAGGTGTGTCTTTTGCGGGGCTACCCCTTCGGGGAGTTGAAGGCAAACCAAGAGGAAACCACCCATTTATGGGGGTCCCAAGGCTGTTTTGACACACACACACACACAGGCTATTCGGGCGGGGGGAGGGTGTGCAGAAAGTTTCTGCAACCAACTGTTTGCTCTTGGCGGAGTTCTTTGTGCGGGTTTTCTTTGGCTAGAGATTGGAATCTCCTCGTTGCTCTCACCTTGCGTGACGCGATGTTGCTGGGGCGCTCTGGGCCCAAGGGTGAATGACATCCAGAGTGTGAAGAGAAGAGGGTTGGCACCTATGGTAGCCAGTATCACCCGAAGAACGAGAGGTCTTGCCTCCGTAAAACTCAAAGGACATTGGACTACAATGTTAACCTTGCAGCCAACCCTTTTGACAACTACAGGTCGGGAGGTTGGTGAAGAACCGTCCCGAAGAGCAACTCCTGAGGGAACAAGCCAGTCTGGAGCACAAGACCAACTCGATCAGAAGGTCTCCGGGAGCAAACCTCCTTGTAGCTTGTTTAATCGTTAAGTGGGTAGCAGCTGTCATACATTCCCTGGACCAGACTGGTCCGACACCCGGCAAACAGCTATACTTGCTGCTTGAAATTAAAATAAACATGAAGGTAACCCAAGGCAAAAAGTCATTTAAAAGGCAAGTCTTCACCGCAATGCATTTCCTGCTTTGCGACCCATCGCAGACAAAACCAGCCAGTGGTTGTGGTTGGCAGGGGCCACTTGGCCTCTTCCTTCTTCTCCGGCTCGGTCTTCGCTTCCTGGCATGCGGCGTGAGCATAGGCGGCCCAACCCGCTTTGGTTTCAACCAGTGCCATTGTGCCATTGCTCTAACAGCTGACTCACCGACTCCCCATTATCTTCGCTCGTTCTCCTTAGACAGCGACCATTTGTTGGAGAGGATGTGCCGATGTTATGAACATATTTTTCCCTGAATCCCGAGGATACAGACAGAAATACTTGCAACTTCTAACACAATTCCGACACCTGAAATAGTTGCCCGTGAGCTCGAATCCCAAGCTCACGGCTACAACAGTTGCACACATCAACATTCTATAGCCGCGAAGCTGTGGCTGCCTTGGGGCCAAGCGCCCTCCAGGTCCCAAGTAGAAATCAGCTTCCCCTTAGGTGCTTTGGATTGGTGAGGGGTTCCGGAGTCTCTTTTCTTGCTTTGGACAAGAAACCAGGGATCAAATGTTTTGGTTTCCCTAGCCCCTCAAAAAAGAGACCAATTTGGCCAACGCGTATCCTTGGAACCGTGTCGTGTCCAGAAAAAGAAGTGAGCGCCCGAAAGTGCGATAGCGCAGTGAGCAGCTCATAAGCCCCTGGCAGTTCCGAAACCCATAGCCATATGATCCAAACTACGCGTTCGCCATGGGAAAATATGAGGATTTTTGACCAACCCTCTGATCATAGATGGACCAGAAAGGGCATGCAAGTCTCGAAAAGCCGGACATCAAGATTCTTTCTGGAACTTCCATCCAGGGAAAACCGCTGATTGAACCTATACCTCTTTAAGGGGACCAACTCGAAACAAGGCGTCGGATATGGGCAACTGCAGGCTGAAGGCCACCGGCTTTGCTCCACCTGAGCAAAAGGCTGTTAAGCTTAACTCCAAAAGGTCTCTCCGCTCACACCAAAGGCCAGCAATATGACTGGCTGAAAATTAAATAATTTCACTTCCTTCGCCTGTTTTTTTCAAAATGGCGAAGCTTGAGGCGGAACGCTGGACTGCGCCGGCTGGGCTGGATGACGATCAGATTGAGATGGGAATCTTTAGTTAAGGTGGGCCAAACAACCAAACGGTCAAACAGGTAGACAAAAGCCGAGGTTCGTGGTGGCCAAAAAACAGGGTCCTCTATGCTTTGAAGCTGTCACGATTAGATCCTTTCCCCAAACGACATGTTTACTGAACCCCTGGTTTTCGTGGGGAAAATTCGGAGCTCGTCTCCCATCCCCCGGATGTACCACAGAACGTGGCCCTGTCCTCCGGCACCGCTGCCGTTCCAGCTTCCTCTGCCCTTTCCGCCGCTTCCGCCGCTGCTTCCGCCGCTGCCTCAGCCGCTGCCTCAGCTTTTGCACTTTGCCAATCTTCCATCGTTTCAGAAGACCTGGAGTCTCCATGACCCTTTCAATATGGGTCCATGACCCCACTATTTTGACTAGTGACCCTATTTTTTAAGGGTCATGGAGACTCCAGGTAGAAATATATTTGTTGGTTTTAAAGGGAAATTGTTTGAATAGTTAGTTTGTCTTGCTGGTTTTATAGGGAAATAGTTGCTCATGTTTGCCCTTGTTGGTTTTAGAGGGAAATTATCATCACTGGACACAGTGTCTCATGTTTTCCAGGGGGCTTGAGCAAATGGAAGCATCAAGCAAGAACTGTTGTCGCGCATACCCGACTCACTGGAGTGGAATGACCAAACACAGTAATTGGTTGTCTACCAGCAAAAATGTATTCTAAAAAGCTTTTAATGCCCAAGAACTTGGGGAGTGAACTGTTGCACCCGTGAGGATGTAATTTTCAGAAGGATCCATTCGATGCCTATCTGTAGACACATGATTCGTACGAACCCAACAAATGTACTTAACTTGGCACACATCAGGCGTACTAAAACAAACATGATTATGCTCAATACTTAGACTAAGCTACAATAATAATACAGTGTTGAAGAAAATTCCAGTAACTCTGGCAATCATGTTCCCGCTTATGGCTCCACTGTCCAAATCTGGGATGAGCAACCTTCATTGAACAATTAATGATCACACGCTGGTACTGAAGTGGTCCGCGCCCACAGCCATGCAAACTAGGATTTGCCAAACTGTATAACAACACTACTATATACACATGAATCAATACATATGAATATATACATACACCTACTAAACCGAAATACATTTACAACCAATAAAGATATTATATATATATGTATGAACATATACAAATACATGTAGACGTTATACATACACATACACAGGCTATGAATGAGCTCATGTGCAACCCATAACTGGCCTGCTTCTCCTCCTCAGCCTTCCTCTCCTCCTCGGCTCGCCGCTTTGCGGCCTGGCGCTCCTCGACCTCAAGCACTCGTCTCGAAAACGGTTTGGATGTGGCGAATCTGTGGAGCCACCCGTGCTCTAGATCCAAGGTCCCCTGAGCCGCTCAGGATCTAAGGTTTGGTGGTTTCAGGATTGGTGGTGCCAGTTGTTGTTTTTTGTGAACAAGTATCAGTTTGAAGTTGCTTTGGTAGGAACAGAACAGTCATTTGTTGGCAAAAGGTCTAAGGGGAGATTCGGACGCCAGAGACCAGCCACGCCAATATGCCCAGAACCCCCCGGAACCCTTCGGAACCCTCCCTGAACACTGCTCCAAACCAGGTGTCCCAAAGCATTGGGCAGGAAGCTCAAAGCTTTCAGACGGGAATTAATGCACCGCCCCATCCTCCCAACATATTTTTTGCTCACCCTTTGTATAGATCGGTGGGATGATTGCTACAGGGGCCAAAGATAAGCTCGGCTCAAGGATAGAAATGCGGCCCGTGGCAAAACGGAACTGAAGGAAACCGTTTGCATTTTTGTCCCCTAGTGGTTTGGCCATGTTTTGCAGGCTCGGAACAACCTGGTGTGGGGTTGAATTCTGCTGAAGTGGCGTTCTTTGTCTTGCGAGTGCGCCAATGGCAGCTTTTTGCGCGGACCCTCGGCTTCCATGTCCAATGTGCATCCCGGATGGTTTTTCTCAAAAGACCGGGGGGGGTGGACGTAAAGCGTGACAATCCCCATACCAAGTTCTATGGGCTGCCCTCAGAGAACGCTTCGTTCTGGGCAAGCTCACTCCAAGACAACTCCCTCTCCTGCCGAAAAGCATTCCAACAAATATGTTGGTGTGTGTGTGTGTGTCGAAAAATGACCCCGGACATGGCCGTTTTCCTTTTTGGGTTCCTTTTAAACCAACTTAAGAAGGGTACCCTCAAACAAACACACGCACACACACACACACACACACACATAGTTCGAAAGTTATTTCAAGCGGCAGCGTGGCAAGCTGGAATATGCTTCTTAAGGAAGGGGACATTGTCTCGTCAACCGTGCTGCTCTCGCGAATCATGTCTATCACACAAAATCATAAGACCAACAGCTGGATTTAGGAGTCTCTTTTTCGTGATACAATGATTGGTTTCAAGGGGAAACCAAAAGGAAACACCACCTGTTTTGGGGTTGCCTCAAAAAAGACACGCCCATTTGGGCGTCCACCAATTCGGAACCCTTCTTCGCGTGGTTTTCAAAAGCAAACAGGAAAGTGACAAAGGGCAGGTGTTTTTCTGCTAGACAAAAAACAACAAGCTTGTCAATTTGTCCAAGCCTTTGAGATAAAACCAACAATTGTCCTGCTCCCGAGGGAATCCCGAGTAGCAAACACGTGCGCTGCGCGCGTTGATGCTTTCATGGACTAACAATCGCACTTTGCGGGTGCTGCCTACTAGGATGCTCGTTGCTCTAGCAAAACGATCGATGGAGAACAAATAAATGTCCCAAGAGATATTGACCCAAGAATATCTAGACCCCAAGCCCTGCCGAGTGGGAAACAAATAAGCCCAGATATCCCCAACAGCACCCCCGTTTGCACCCGTCCGAACCCGAAGAGGCCGCTTTCCCACGGGCAACAAACCAGAAACAGCTTTCCCTGGGATGCTGTTAAGCTCCCCCGAAGCGAAAGGTCTGATTCACCTTTTGTAGGTTTAATCGAGCAGGGCATAACTGTCAAAAGGTCTAAAAGGGCCTTTGGCGCAACGACTTCTTCGATCCCAGAGCCCCAAAAAAAACTGCAAAGAGCTTCACTTTAGGGGGTTTGGTGGAAAACACCTTTATTTCAACCAGAAAGTTAAAGCCAAAAGATCCAACCCATTAGCAGTCAAGCAGAGGCCCTTTCCTTTGGCCGACCGCGAAAAGAGAAGCCCCGAAAGCGCCTTCCGCTTCTCCTCGGCCTTCTTCCTTGGCTTTTTGTTTCACACGTCCAAACCTCAAAAATAGTCCAAACCCTCATCACAACATATGTTTTTCTTAACTTACCAATCCACCACACACAAAATAACATTATAAGCACATTCCTCATTATATATTGTGCAAAACTGCTTCTCCCACTGGTTGGGGGTGTCACCAAACCAAATGGGATTCCTTTTTTCTCAGCCCTTTTCAGTAAGACACGCTCAACATTTGCCGCATTCGCAGGTTTGGGAGCTAAAAACCGCTAAAGCGCCCATAAAAGTAAAAGGTGGTGGCTGGAACCTGGGAGCTGCTGCTTAGATTCGTTCATCCCTTTCTTGATGAACTCTTTCATTCTTCCAGGTCCCACAAATGGTATTATCGAAATGTCTGCCGGGGTTGGTGAAATGTTTGGCGGGGGGAGGGTAGTGAAAGGGAAACACCTCAGAAACACCCTCCACAAGATATTTGAATTCCGCAGGAGTTCCAAGGCGGCGTCTTTTGGTTTCCTTAAACTCCTCAAGGAATCCTAGACCTGTCTCCACTCCCCACCCCCTTAAAAATTTCACCAAAAACCAAACATGGCCTCCCTGTTCTCAACAAAAACACTGACTGGCCCTCAGGGAACCCACCTGAACCAAGCATCATCGCTCAGGGAACCCCACCCCACAAAAAACATCGGCGTCGTCATGTCCGCACCTCCGCCCCAAAGCCCAAAGCCCAAAGCCCAAAGCCCCCCCTGCTTTAAGTCCCCTGGGGAAAATGAAAATATGTCCAGTGATAGATTCCCTTTAACACAAAAAAGAAGCATGTGGTTAAGAATATGTCCATTGGTTAATAATTTTGTCCATGTGGTTAAAAAGAAGAAAACCAAAAATCTTCTGAACCAGATGGAAGACCCCCGCTTTCTGCCGGGCTTCTCCTCGATGGCCTTCTTCTTCGCCTCCGCCTCCGCCTTCCGCTTCGCAGCGGCCTCCGCCTTCCGCTTCTCCTCCTCTCTCGGGCGCCCGCGAGCGCTGGGGCGGGGGGGGTGTTGGGCCTCAGGGACCAGAGGGACATCTTCTTCCGTTTGCTTAAGTCCCCTCGAAAGAAATATAAACATTGCCAGTAGTGCTAGATTCCCTTTAAAACCAACAGGGGAAACATATCCTTAAGCAAATGGAAGTCTCTGGTTCTCAAAAAGGCCATGGCTGGGAACCATCAAAAGTGACACCTGAGGGACAAATATCAGAACCCCCCCGAGTGATTTGCTTTGAAAACACCCTCTCCACCAAAAATACAGAAGAAAACCAGGGCACCACTGGGGATCTCGGCAAAATGTCCTTCCACCTAAGAGGGGCGGTTTATGAGCGAACCTCAAACATGGATGAGTGGGTTTCCCTTGGTCAACAAAGGATATCCAGAAGAAAACAACACACCCGGGAAGGGCCTTCCGGAATGAGGCTGCAAGTTAGAATCTTCTTGGAGATCAGGGGCCGCGATTTGGCCGGGTTCCACATAAGGGCCATCCCAAAATCAGCGTTCTTAGGGAGATTTCTACATCACAGGAGCTCCCTTTTAGAAATCTAGATGAAACATGCCTGTAATGTCTGTAGACTCTCTAAATCAGCTGGCAAAAATGCGACTTTCAACTCTCACTTCTGGGCAATTCCTTTCGACAACGTGCAAGGAATCCCACAGCTCAGCCGGGAGTTTTTTTTCTTCCCGGGAACCGGGCTGTCCCAAACTCATTGATCCAGCTGTCACCTGTAGATGATGCTACCTGTAGATGGCCCAGACGTTCCTGCTCTGGACGGACAAACTGCAGTGGACCGGTTGAGTCACTATCAAAACACGGTATTAAAATGGTATTGCTTCAAGAATTTTGAAGGCGGATATCCGCAGCTCTTTCTGGTTGGGATCGTCCCTTGACCTTCATCTACCGGGGTTTTGAGCAAGTGACTCAGTTGGGATGGATAAAAAGCTTGTTGAAAACTGGTGGATAAACCCCTCGTACCAACTGCTGCGGAAAGCCTGATCATTGGTGGGATCCAAAGGATCATACATGATTCAATACTGCGAACTGGTGTTTTGATTATGATTCACAACTGGGATTTGTGGAGTATTGCCTTTCTCTGATTGATGATTACTAGTTGGCCTTTTTTACTGAGTAGCGGCTTTTGCTAATTATTGATCATTGATCGCTGGAGTTTGCTGGTCATGGATTATCCCATCTACTACTGAGACTCGCTGACTATTATTGCCTACTGATTGGTTTTGATATGATATACTACTTATTGACTGCTGCGATCCTTTGATTTGTTGAGATCTGGGAGTACATGCTATTCGAGCCGCCGGCTGGTTGCACCTACCGGCCATGGCAGCAAACCAAGAAATCGATGGGACCAATACGTTAAGAACCAAGGCTATAAGCCTGAGCAATACGTGGGGAAGGCCAAGTTAGTAAGTGGTTGGCCACTTGGGTTATACCCCCCTAAAAACAAGGCTAACCCCACGTAGGGGGACTTCTAAGTGGGTTACAACCTAAGTACTTAATGGATCTCAGAACCCTTCTAAGAACCCGGGTGGAGGTTTTTCTCTAAATTAGTTTCGAATGCCCTGTCCATCTCCCTCTTGTAGGTGCTGAGCAAGTGCACCGGGAACTTCCACCTCCCAGCGCCTCGTTCAACGTTTTCGCGGCGAAACCAAAAACGGCGCAGAATTTGGCTGGACGAAGGGGGATTTAACCCGAGGGTGAAAGGGGAACCCAAGGGTGAAAGGGGAACCCATGGAATTCGGTGAAGTGGGACTTCCTTCCACTTGAGCTGCGTTCTCATACAGGACTCGAAGAAACGTAAAGAAAACTCCACGCAAAGTCTGCCGAAACTTGTGTGACGGGTGCTGGGCGAACTTTGTATTGCTCGATTCTATGTAGGATACACATCTTCCCCCTCGCCTTCCCTCTCTCCCCTCAATGAAGACCCTGCTTTTGCCCCGTGGCTCTGGTGAACATATCTTCCGACTTCGCGGGCCTCTCTACAAACCTCAGGTTGCTTGGCCCGCGCTACATTAAACGTTGCTCAAACCAAATCAATGGGATCCTCCAGCCGCGCAGCGGTTGTCACTCAACCCCTGCAGTGTCTAAGGGGAGAGGGTCGGGAACCTAAGCCAGGCCAAGCTGAAGTAGCCTCCTTCTAGTTAACCTTGCATCCCTTTAAGCGGCAATGTTCTTCACCATCTAAGTGTGATTTGGTTTTCCAAGAGTCCCCATCAGGTTTCTTCTTGCCTAAACATGTATAAACCCCGGGCTGAATCGCCTTTCTGTTCAAACATCGTGCAGACAAATCATATTCTCCCTGGTTGTTCGCCCATTTCCAAAGAGAAGGATCTCTGGGGAGCCGGGATCTGGCAGATCTCGGCCAAGCCCTGTGGTCCGGGCCGAAGAGGTCGATGTAGTGCGCCCCCGTGGCGATATCCTTGATGAGCCCCGGCTCCTGTCTCACGCCAAGCGAAATTCAGAAGGTTAAGCCGCCTGCTCCAAAGGCGCTTTTTAGTTTCCTACAAACGAGGTATTATAGACTAAACCACATGTTATATAACCACGATTAAAAAAAAGAGAGCCTTTTTGTGGTATAACTGAGCAACCCAACAACAACCAGCAACCAGTTTCTTGGTTCTAGTGGTTGTTGTTGGGTTGCTCCAAGTCCCAGGACCTTTTGCAGATCTCGTGCAAAAACAAGTGTTCCCCCGAAATTCCTTCTGGCGCGATTCGGTCGCACCAAAGACAAGCCATGCTCGTCTTGGATTTTCTTTTTTGGGACTTCTTCCCTTTGCAGCAGCGAAAACAGCGAATGCGTTGAAGATCTATGAGATGATGCATCTGGATCTTATGCAAGTTATTGCCTCAAGATGTCCCTCTAAACAGACACCATATGCCCCCTCATCCATTACTCCAAATACCCACTTGCTTTACTTTCAGGTTTGATGACAACCCCTGCCTACAAAACTGGAAATGTGTACGGAAAACACCTGCCTGTTCAACAAACTGTACCGGCAAAACAAGTGGAAGACGGCAGATCGCTTTGGTTCCTTTTGAGGAACCATCCACGAACAAAGCGCCGCTTCACTCCACGTTCGATTCTAGCATGGTATATACTTGCCTAGATGGGAACTGTGGCGTTTCCATTGCTGAAGCCTTCGTTGGGCATATCTCCAAGAGCAATCGTCAATTTCGGAAGAGCAAGCCGCTTTCGAAGGAATACCTGGTACGGTTGATTCCCGAAAAAAACCGTAGGTACGAAACACGGGTTGGTTGCAATAGCTCGTGAATCAAACGGGGGTGCGGATTCTCGCAGTCTCGATGCTCCTCCATTAGTCTATTCCCATCACATCCATTCCAAAATCGGCTATGAGCAATGTTGAGCCCGGATTCATAAACCCGTGAGCAATCCAGCAATTCAGCATGTGTTTTTTCCCTCCAAAATTGATCACTCCCCACAAAACCAGCGACACCCTCCTGTCAATCAACCAGGGGCGCCCATTAATCAACCAGGGACGAGTGATGCAACTCACCCGGCGATCCAGAACCCTTGCCCTGTTTGGCTCATTCCCCCGACACGTTGGACAAGCTTCTGAAATTCTGATTCAAGGGACTTCCGTGTCTGAAGTAGACAGTTCTGCATTTCTTGGGTCCACTAAGGAAAGGGAAATGCGAACCAGTCACTGCCATTCCTCTTTACAAGCAGCTGGGAACAAAGCTGCTCCAATTCAGCAAAGTGTGCCTTTGTTCGGGGACCCGCCTCCCCAATGGCCGGGGGTTTTTGGTTTGCCGTTAAAACCACATATTTTAAGGGGGGCTCCAAAAGAGACACACGCAAATGAGCACTCCCAACAGCCGCAACTTCCTGAAGCAAAGGGATGCAAAGGGCAGGGGGTTTTGACAGGGCTGCAAGACGAGAAAAAGAAGAAGAAAACAAAAACGATCCCATGGCGTCCGTTAGAGCAAAAGGCGTCCGTCAACTTAAAAGATGTGGCCAAATCTCGCGCCAGCGAGCCATTGGTCCCAGCATTTCACAAGGCCCTGGTACGATAAGCCTAGGGATCTCCCTTCATTGGGCCCCCGATTTTTCAGGTCCGAGCACTCTTATAAGGTCACACAACGGAAAGAACCCGAAAGGCGACAGAAACCTCATGGGGGGCTGGGACTTTTGGCACCACCAAAGGCTAAGGGGCTCAGAAAAATGGAGCTTCCGCTACAAATGGGTTGGTTTTTGTGGGCTCCATGTTACTCGGTATGGGAGTAAAAGAAACCAAAGCCAACTCTGGCCCCAAGTGGGTGGCTACTCAGGAAATCATATGTTCGGCGGAATGCTTCATATGTGGTCTAGCCAAAAATGCAACATCAATTTTGATAAAATTTCTGTATTGGACACTGCACCCTGTTCGTTGGAAATACATGAAGGACATTTTGGCACCATCCGTCACCGAAGCCCAAGAGCCTAGATGTGCCAAAATGACCAGACAATTATTAATTCGGTTGTGCGCTTTGAGGGAGCCATTGTGGGGGACAGAAATCCCATGTTAAAGGCAACCCAAACGGGAACCACCCATTTTGGGCCACTTTCCGGTGTTCGTGTCAGCTTGAGGCCTCCACTCCCATCAATTCGATGTAGACAGCCCAGCGGGCTGGATCTCCTGCTTCGCTGAAATAGCCAAGCCGCTCCAGAAGGATCACGCAAATACTCATCACACGCGCGTGAATTGCGCCGTACGGTCCAAGTGGCAGGCCCTTGACGGCCTCGTAGCGCGCCTCGTAGCCACCGCGCCACAGATGGATCGAATCCGCGAAGGCTTCAGCCGAATGTATCGACCAGACACCACCAGACAAGCCGCGACATTGTCCGGCTGGAGCCATCCCTCCATGTCGTTCAGGAGAACCGTCGACTGGCCAACTTCCGACATTTCCACAACGAGATCTGGTGCCCTCTTTGAGACAACCCCATATACCTTTGAACTACCTGTTTTTTGTTGAACATTTGGAATACCAGTTAATTTTGAACTTCCTGGGATTTTCCCGTAGGTTTCTTAGTCGATTGAGGTTCGGTGAAGATTACTGGTCGGTTCTATTTTGAGACTGGCTTGCCCCCATTTTGGCAAAACCACTACGTCAGGTCCTCCAGTAGAGAGGTTAGAACAAGGGTACCCTTTTGTTGTAGTCTATTTTAGTAGCGAAACACTCTCCCAAAAAAGGGGAGAGAAGGGCACTACTGGCACTTGATCTGCCCGCCAACTCTCCCCAACCCCCCGGGGTTGAGAAATCTGCGCGCGCCTCGCCGAGGGTGCAGCAGGGCTCCTTAGTCTGAGACAGCTCTGCCGGGGGTGTCTTGAAGGGGACCCAACTTGGAGGAAACCACGTTATGTGTTGGTCTTGAGGGGGGAACGAAAAAGGAAGCTCTTTTGTTGGGGAGCCCAAAACTGCTTGGTTATGTTTTTGTTTGTTTCCCTTTGGTGGATTTCATTTATTTGATTATTTGGGGGACTCATGTCTACCAACCACTTAGGTCGTTCCAAACCTTACGATGTGCAAAAGAAGCCCGCGCATCCGATCCAACAGCTCGAACAGGAAGCCCAGCGAACTCTTCCGAACGCAGCCCATCTGGGCCTACCACACTGTCAGCTGGGGAAAATGGTTATATCTTTCTTGCAGCTTCTACATTGATATGTCCAATGCATCTTCCTACACTGACACTATGTGTCTATTTAATGTCTATTCCTACACTGATATGCTTATCCCTACACTCATATGTTGGAGTTGTCTTCTGGTCAATGTCCTTCGACAAGGCATCTTATTTGCCCTTTTCACCAGCATCAGACCCTCAGTGGCCATGGAGCAAACAGATGCGCTCCGTTTTTTGGCATAGTTGATGTTAAACGACCCCCCCCCACCGCAAAAAGAAAGACAAAAAGAAAGAAAGAAAGACAAAAAGAAAGAAAGAAAGAAAGAAAGAAAGAAAGAAAGAAAGAAAGAAAGAAAGAAAGAAAGAAAGAAAGAAAGAAAGAAAGACATAAATAAAGAAAGAAAGAACGAAAGAAAGAAAGAAAGAAAGAAAGAAAGAAAGAAAGAAAACATAAATAAAGGAATAAAGAAAGAAATAAAGACAGAAAGAACGAAAACAAAGGAAGGAAGGAAGGAAGGAAGGAAGGAAGGAAGGAAGGAAGGAAGGAAGGAAGGAAGGAAGGAAGGAAGACAAAACAAGAAAGCAATAAAGAAAGAAAGAAAGAAAGAAAGAAAGAAAGAAAGAAAGAAAGCAAGAAATAAAGAAATAAATAAAGACAGAAAGAAAGAAAGAACGAAAGAAAGAAAAGAAGACATAAAGAACACATACTGAACAAAGACAGCAACCCACGCGGCTTATTGCTCTTCAGACTTCTCATGCCCAGTGATTCCATTGAACCATGAAAACCCTTTCAACACCGAACAAACATGGCGAAGGGTTACCTACTATAGTAGCCAAACAACTGGTCCCGCACCACTTTGGTGAAACTCTTTTTTACTTTCATAGCCGTGTGTCTTGTTTCCCCAAAAATGGTTGGTTTCCTTTTTGATTCCTGAAGTTTTGACACACATAGCTGTGTCTTGTTTTGAGGGTAACCCTTTTCTGTGGTTTTTCGGAGGGGGGGGGGAAACGACAAATCCATCTCGCATGTCCAAAACTCGCCGAGCCGCCACCTCCAAGTTGGCGAAAGGGTTGGCCTTCCTGGCCAGACGGGGCTCCCCGACCGAAACGTCCGAACCAGTTTCCACACCGAATTAGGGCTTCCTGAGACCAACGGGTGTGTCAGTTCTCGAGGGAACCCATGTTGGGACCGTTTAAAGGGAAATCCGAGGGAACCCTTTGTGGGTCTCCTTAATGAGACAAACCCAAACAACAAAAGAAACACAACAAACAAAACAACAACGAAAACCATCAACGGCAAACAAAACACATATCTGCGACAACAAACAAAGGCGCATCAACGAATCAGCTCCAGCCCCTTGAATCAGCCAGGCCTGTTCTCCTCATCCTTGTCCTCCAGTCCAAAGGAGATCAGCACCTCGAAAGTGACAAAACCTCACTAGACATGAGCCACAGTCAAGGTCCCCAGTAGATAGGTTAGAATAAGAGGGCCAACTTTTTTCTGTAGTCTATTTTAGTAGGGGAACCCTCCCCCAAAAAAGGGTAAAAGGGCACTACTGGAGGACCTAGTCAATATCTCAGTCACAATCGAGACCTGGAATCATCCATTTCCTTGAGTCCGCCTGAAGGAAATAAACAAATAGATGGCCTGGGAAAACAAAAAAACGCATTCTTAAGCACGTGGAATGCAGCAAACATTCGCCCAAAACCATGTAAAGGAAAAACAACAGCACGTTCCCTGTGCGGTGTCTACTCCCCTCCAACTATCCGAATATTTCTTGCGCATTCACTGTTACCCTACGAAGTCTGCCGTCCGACACTCTCGTGGTTCCAGTCTTGTCCCCAAAGGGGAATATCTTGGCGGCCTTTAACTCACGGGGGCAAGCGGAGGGCTTTTCAGGCAATTTCGGTCGGAATTGAATTGTTTCTCCCTGGAACCGCCTGAAATCCAAACCGGTTTGCTACTCGCCCGCAATATTATATAAACAATTTCCGAAAGAACCAACAAACAAGAACAACATGTTCTTTTAATGAAACTATATGTTGTGGGAACAAATCCATGGCAAGTTGCTTCGGAAACCTCAGAAAACCCGCGGGCCCTGCAAGAGGCATCCCCTGATTTTCACCCTGATTCTCCTACCTTTGACAAAACCAATGGCCCGGACCCCAAATACACCTGCATATACCCAGGTTGGTATCCCCACTCGAGAATTTCATGATGCCCTAAGCATCTTTGTGGTTTTTGAGGTCCAAAAGCTTCCAATGCAAAACCTGACCCCTTCAATTGGAGGGTCCAATGATGCTGAGGGTGGCAAAAAGGCACGCAAACAAGCTGGAACTCGTTGCCGATAAGTCAAAGGTCACATAGGGCCTTGATTTAAAAAAACGGGGGCCTCTTGGCTGCGGCTCTGCAAAAAATCATCGAATGTGCCTAGAAAGGGGACCCCATATGGCTGTGGGTCAAAAATATGTACCCAAAATGGCTTGCCTTGGTAAGTGGAAACATGGACCAAAACCTGCGGTCCCCTGGTGGTTTAATTTTGACCCACACCCATATGTTACTCAAAACAAGTCATGAGTTGGGCGCTGCAATCCCTTTTGGAAGAAGCAACCCAACTCATCGAGCAAAGAGTCTTGATGGAAAGAGGATAACCCCACTCTTGTAAGGGAAGCACATCTCTTCTTTGAACCCACTCGCCAAAAGCCACGCGATACAATAGATGTATATTATATACATGGTTGTGTGTGTGTGACCCAAGGCTACATGGTAAACATCGATGTGCATGTGTGTGTGGGAGCCCCCAAAAGGAGCATCACGTTTGGTCTTTCTGTTTGTGTGTTTTGGGGAGTGCTTTTCTTGATTGAATAAGTTGGTACTACAACGGCCGAACAATTTCTCAGATGCCCAGTGGCTATGGGGAAAAAGACCATCCTTTGTTGGTTGGTTGACCTTGAACCCTTCCCGAAAAAAAAAGAAGAGCCACCACCGGGCAACTGGGATTTTGAGGCATCCCTATGGAACATTCCAACTCACTCCCTCCCTGCTGACTGACTCGAGTGCCGGACTCGGTTGTCTTTGGCCATGACCATCTGAACCTTCTCCCCGGTGATCCTAGATCGAGCTGCTCCCAACCCAGGGTGAAGAAACTAAGAAACCAACCAGCAAAAGTTAGAAACAAGGGCCAACTCAACTGGTAGTGTTCACTGACCTGAGTTGGCCAAAAGAAATCACATGATTTTTGGCCTTGACTAAAATGGAGAAGAAACTCGGAAACCGACAAGTTTTAAAGGCTGGAAATAAGGCTAACTCAGCTGGTAGAGTATGCTTGTCCAGGGGGTCAAGTCCAATCTGCATTGGGCGATTTGTGACCGGGTTTGCGTTTTTCTTTTGTTTAATTAGTTTTTGGGGCGAATTCAGGTCTCCCCTAGGGATCAAGGGCCTCAGTGCAAAAGGGCACCCTTGTTTTCGTGACACCCCCTCCAACGTTGCCATGGAACCTGACAGGAAGGGGTGCCCATCAGGTTCCATGTTGATGAGAGGGTAACAATCGGTTTGCAGATCCAAGCCGGTACAGATTGGAGGTTTCCATGGAAAATGGTTCAATGTGAACTGATTGTCACTTACAGGGGTTGATAAGCTACAATACACCAGGGTGAAGGCACATGGCAAGAACTCCATGTCTGCAAGCAATGGGATGACGATGAAACCAACATGGGGCAGTTGTACCATGCACTTTCAACTGTGAGCCTTAGCAGTGGAAATAAAGCCAAACATGAGGCAAATGCGGCCAAACAAGGCCGTACTGGGGGGGGAGCTGTGAGGCCCCCGACATGTGAGTGCTCCTCGCTCTTCCCCCAACCCGTTCTTTGGACAAAATGCACATCGAGGCACAATGGATTCCCTGTAGAATTTCCTGTGGCTGGTTTCTCAGCACATATCTGGCATCCCTCATTGCAAACAAAAAGATTGCGCTTGGAAGTATGGCTGCTATATACCACTTACCCAAGTGTTCCCGAAACGGGGTATTGGTTGAAGGGTGAGCTTTTGTGAAGATGCTATGAAAGCGCCATACCGAATCCGTATGGAAGAAGCATCTTCTACAATGCAGCTATTCAGCGCATGTCCATGTCTGAGAAATTGCCAAGTGCACAAAGTGAGCATGACACATGTTTTGTCAATTCCATCACGCATCTCGTGAAGCACTTGGCTCATGCAGGAGAGACTCTAAAATGAGACAGATATCATCAGCCAGGCACGCCCACCTGTGGAGCAGAGGTCACAAGCCTGCTCCACGTCAGCCAGGGCACCACGAAGATTCAGCAGTGCCTGTGTCGCTACTCGCGCTCCCAGCACATGCGGACTTTGTCGCCGGCAGCTCCACGGGCGGAGGGAGGTCTGTCAATGCCAAAGACCCAGCGTCAGCTGTGCTTGCCCGCAGCGAAGAAAGCAAAGTTGTGAGGAACGTTAAACAAAGGGGCCCCAGTCCTTTCCCATGCGCCCTATGAATTTGCTTTCCCACATTTCGCAGCCCTGGGCCCTGCGTATTTAACCAAAATAACTGGGCCAATACTACACCAATGCTAAAAGACAAAGCTCACTGCCAAGCCCAACTGCAGTCCGGTTAGAGGCTCTCGAGAAACACTATGCTCTTCCTCCCTGAGCAAAAGGTCATTCGAGTCACAATCAAAACCCGGTAGTAAAATGGTCTACCCAGAACCATGTAAAGAATTAAGAAGGCGGCCGCAACTATTTCTGGCCGGGACTGCCCCTTACTAACCTTCATCTACCCGGGGCTTGATAGTGGCTCATTAGACCTTCTGCAGGTTTAATTCAAAGGCCAATTCCAATAAGTTCCTTTAGGGTACACCAAAGACCAGCCTACCACAACTTGATCGATACGGGCCCCCGACATCTCCAATGTCAGGGCGAGATCCTGAGTGCCGATGTGTGTCCAGTTGGGAACCCTTTCGGTTCCCTTTCGGTGTCCCTTCAAAAACCCCGAAAAGGGGGGGTGCCGCGAACAGAACCACACGGCAAATACGAAGACAAGTGGTTTCGGAGTGGACTTGTCGTGCTCAGTACTCGTAAATGGCCCTTCAAAGTAGACCTAACACCACATCCAGCCCAGCCAAACGTCGGCGGTTGAAAGCGAGTAATCAAGGGCGTTCCCTTTTCCCCTAAGCTTCTAGGGCCAAGGCCTGTTAGGTTCGGAAGGTCCAATGACGCGGGACACAATGCACTATTGTGGTTTGGGACTCTGGCAGCTTGAAGTTTGACCCCGGAGAACCAACACAAAAAATATTGCCGTTGAAGTGGTTGGTTGACTTTGAGCCTTGGAGCAACCCTTTGTTGCCATGGGAGCCAGGCTGGAAATGACCTGCCTGTCTGCAACTTTCGTACCGGGAAAAACGGCCTTTCCAACACCCAAGTCCCTATGAAGATATTGAACCCTAAGCATGTTGACTTCTCGCAAAGGCCTTTTTCGAGGTTCAAAACCTTCCAATGAAGGTCCTGACCCCTGCAATGGAGGGTCTCACGCTGCTTAGGGTAACGTCAAGAAAACAATCCCCTTGCTTTCATCGCTTGCTCTCCGGCACAAACGTCTTTGGGGAATATGCCCTAACGAAGACGCCCCTTCCCCCCCCCGAACCGACCCCGAGGCACGGGCGTCCCCAAAGCGCGGGTTGGACCTGAGACGCGGCTGTGGCTCCCCCCATCCAGACGAAAGTGATGCCTGGGATTCATTTCGCCATAAAGTCTTCCGGTTGCTTGTCCGACGCCAGGCTTCCAGGTCGTGATGTCTGGAATTACGACCGCTATGGAGCGTGAGTGGGAACTGTGTGCTCAAACAGTAAGGCTTCACCAGGCTGAGCGCACCCTTCAAGGTTGCTACCATTCAACCGAATCGCGCGGCAAGGTGAAGAGTTTTAGACCCGGCCAACTGCGGAGACTCACCATTGAAGCTGCCCAAACAGGTTGTGGTGAAACCACCAAGGGAAATCCAGGGACACCTGAGTTGTTGTCTACCCTTGAGCTTTGGTCGTCTTTTAGTAACGCAAGCGAGCAAGCCGAGCCTGGTACTGGGGGTTGGTTCTTCCCGCACACCAACATCAGGTTAACTGCCGATTCATAAACTCCTGGTGATTGATGGGGGGGAGGTGTCCCCTTTTAGTGGGAACCCTTCACTGTTGAGGATGACCCCCTATTAATAGGACGGCGTCCATTTGCTCAAGCCGCCTGGGGAAAAACAAAACCATGCCCAGTAGTGATAGATGTTTTGTTTTTGAGGGACCATAAACCTCAAGCAAATGGAAGACGGGTTCTACTTTGACCCGGGGTCCGCATTCAAACGGAGGCCACTGGGCCTTTGTCCCTCTCCCCGTGGCCAAAACCGTTGGCCAAGCGGCCGCCCGCTATTCCAGCGGGGCTGCTCCAGCACGCAAGCCACGGTCCTACAAGGAGTTGAGCTGGCTTCTGGGCGTTGTTTGAGGGGAGCCCTTCTTCTGGGTTGAAAGGGAAACCAAAACTGGGTTGCCCTCAAATCCCCCGCTAAAAGTTTAACTTTTAAGCGCTTAAATGGAAACTACACCTACGTAAACACCAAAAGGCTAAATAAAAAGCTAAGGAACCGGATGGCTGGGAGGCACCAAGAAAAGGAAACCCATCATTTTGAAACTTCCCATCTATTTTGAGGCGAGCCCCCGCCCCCCCTGCCCCCCGGAAACCGCCTACTTGCAGCGTAACACAGGGCATATACCCTTTATGTAGTGGCTATGTACTCGGAGTCGCCATGACCCGTAATAAAGGGGGGTCAATACCCGAACGAAAGGGGTCATGGCCCCATTGTAGCATTGTAGTGGTATCCCAGAAAATATTAAAACCCAAAAGAAAAACACGCCACGAGTCAAAACCCGGTTGCACAAGTACGTCCAAAGGATCCAAGTGTTGATTCACCCACACACAAAGTGAAACCCCGCAGAAGCAAAGGGAAACATAAAGCCAATCAACTTGGAAGCATTTGGTTCCTCAAGATAGGCAATCCTCGTTCTTCTCAAAGCCTTTTCCCCGAGTTTCTGGTGGTTTTCTCCGTGGGACCTGCAAACAAACAGGTTGGCCCCTCAGGCCTACTCCAAAGATCAGTCACTTCAAGGTGCTCGTCTGGTCTTAAGAGGACCCAAAACTACTTTCCTTTGCCCTCGTGGTTTGGTTGTTTGATCTGTTGCTTGCCTTGCTGCCCCCTTCGAGTCCCTACGAACAAAAGATGGAGCTCTTTGAGCCCCATTCTCAGCCCCCGTGGTTTGGAGGTGTTCCGGGGGTGGGCTCCCAGCTCCCAACAAGAACCAGCGGGGCTCAAGGCTGTGGCTTCCTGCAGACTGTACTCCTCTCTAAGTTCATCGCAGAGATCTTGCACCCAACACTTCCCGTGACTAAAAACTGTCGGTTTCACAGGATATTTTCGGGCCCATTCACCAAAAAGTCATCCGCGAGGTGAACGGAAAATTCAAAAACATCCCCCGTTCCTGACTTTGCAAATGCCTAGTCAACATATCGAGCCCAGTGGGCTTTCGATCTAACAGAGTGAAGCACTGTCAACATGACTGGCCGACGGTCTTGTCTGTTTGTCCCTAAAATCCATGGTAGACCCCTGTCTAGTTTTATCCCCAACCCGAACCAAAGTGAAAAACATGAGCCCCCCACTGTGTGGATATTCCGTCTACGCAGGCAAACAAAGGGAAATGAAAGCAAGGGGCCTTCTTGGATGTAGACTTACCCCATTGCTTGGCACGGCCGGTTACACTTTCAAACTGCAGGGTTGCTGCGTCAAAACCTTCGCACATTGGAAGTCAAGTCCAGCATCATAGGATTCAACTCCTCCGAGCCGGTTTCTACCCAACATGAGGCTTTTTTGCGGCCTTACTTGGGTGCGTCTCTTTTTAGGTACTGAGGCTCAAAAAAGATGGACCATCTGGAGGAAACCAGATGCTTCCGTGGGGCAAGGGGAGTCGGGTTGGTTCCGATGTCATGAACAACAGCACATGAGTCCATTGCGGGCCTGCGTGTGAAAAGGACAAAGTGTGACATAAGTGAACACCCCTACGAACACAAGGCGTTGCCAGTCTTACCAAGACGGTTGTGCCATTTTGGAGGGATAAACACGTTGTTGGGTGGCGTTCGAAGGAAAAAGGAAATAGTCCCCATGTCCTCCCCAAACTAAGCATGAACAACCAGCACCTTCCAAGGGCTGTCGCATTGCAACAATCTGCAAAGGGCCCGGGGTGCCAAACACTTGAAGACTTTAAGCGGATTATGAAAGCAAAGGGCCTTTAAAAAGTACCATTTGAAACCCCCACTACCTCGGTTCTCAACATGGGGGATCCCGATGTTGCCATTCAATCCGTATTCCGTAGTGGGACACCACTACACGGAAACCACTACCATGTTAAACACCAACTAAGGATCGATTTTGAACAACCCCTTGTAAACAAGTTGGCAGGCGCTACCAGTAGTTGTGTCAGTCATTTTGCAAGCCGTGCATTCTAAGGGCTCACATAATTGGAGTGGGGTTGTGGAGCACTTCAAAGCCACATGCTGGAATGGTACCAGAAAACAACTTGTAACTACCTGGGGTTCAGACCACTTTTAGAGGGGCCCCCCAACCCCCTATTGATCTGCAATGTTTACTACAATTCCAAAAGCCGAGCTCAAGGATCCCCGGGTAAAGGACTCTTATCATGGTGAGTTCACTATACCCCGATGTGAGCTCGCCATAAATCAGATGAATAGCAGGGGTTTACTTCCTTGGTTCCACCGTCGTCCCTCTCCCGCCTCGTGGGGTCGAGCCCAAACTCAACCTTGGTTTCGGCTTCGGAGGCGCGTCTCACTGTGGAGTTACGAAACCAACCCTCCATGTGCAAATACGTCCTGGAAGAAACATTCAACATATGTCCAGCGAAATCGACTCCCTTTGAAACCAAGGGAAAATCATACGCGTTTGAGTTTGTCTGAACAGGAATGAACATGGCCAGTTTCCCTTTGGGTTCCCTGTAAAATCAGGGGAAAATACAGCATCTTCTGCAATGCCTGGAAGAAAACCCAAACCTCACAAGCCCACACAGGGAAGAACAGCTTGCTCGCTGCAATCCGGGTTCTGTCACTTCTTTGCATGACATTGGTGAAATCAGGCCGCTCCCTGAAGGACCTTTCTCCTTTCCGGTACGCTTCCGGTTTAGGGCGATGCATCTCTGAGCGCCCGAGGTGGTCTGGTGGGGCGAAGTCTCCTGAACCATTGGATCCGTCAGCGAGACTGCATCCTGGAGACGATTTTGTTGTGGATCTTCTCCAGCATGCCGAGGGGTAACCCGTGTGCCCCGACCATGGCCTTTGCGACATTTTCACAACCTCGAGGTCTCCTCAAAGGCCGCAGTAGCAGGTGATAACCTGGTGAACGACTAAAAGTCGGCTGAGTAAGAAGCAATCAGCCAACAGGAGAAACAACTAGCAAAACTGGAAAACACCGCAACAAACGAGGCAAACAAAGAGGGAAACAAACATCGATCGAACAAGGAAGATCAAAGGCCAAACGGTCTATTCGCTCCAAACCCGGCAGGATCTCCACCAGAAGATAGACCAGAATCGGGTGTGGGGCTATGGGGAAAGGGGCTATCCCTCTTGAGTTTGCCAGACCTAGAAGCCCTGCACAAAGTAAACTTTTTGCGAGGTAAATGAAGAAACACCAAAAGGGCGAAAGAGTTAAACAGGCTGGCTAAGACTGGCAATGTAAACCCTTAATAAGGCCATATTAGGGCTTAGTTATGGCACATGCTAGGATTATGTTTGTCCAAATATTTGCAACAAACAACATTGTCCACACAATTGCCTCGGTTATTCAACATGGCGGATCTCGACGCTCTTATTTAATCCGTATTCTATATTCGAACACAACTAGGACAAGGGAAACCACCGCCATGTTAAACACTGACTCAGGGCTGATTTTGAACAGCCCCGACTATTCCCTGCAAATCATGCCCTCTGGGCAGAAAGAGGAGATCACAGCGTGGTTCCTGAACAAGAAAAAACATCTCTATGGCCCAATGGCGGGCCACACATGGCACAAAAATCAGATTACCATAGCAAAAACTCTTCGTCATACGGTCGCCTTTGTGAATCCGCTGTCAATTACTCCAAATAGCATGAAGCAATAAATGCACCCATGCGCCTTTGGGAAGATTAGAACCCTTCAAAAACGGAAGCCTGTGCACTGCCGCGTCTGTTTTTGGCATCCCATGTTCCAGTCACACCGAACACATTCATCAAAAGGTCGGCCTGGTGCTCACGGTGCCCAACCAAAAGCCTCCAGGGGACCCAATACCCACCTTTTTAGGGTATGAGGTTAACCACTCACCGGCTTTGTGAAAGGAGTATACCAGCCATGACCACACAGTTTCTGACATGTTCCATCTGAACATCACCTGAATCGAGAAGTCAAGCAACCTCGCCCCGAAAGGTGCGGTTTCAAACCACGCAAGGCCATACAGGGTAATTATCCCCTTTTGTTCAGTGGCCCGAAAGGTAGTAAAAGAGTTGGGACCCTTTTGGTGTTGCCGATTTTTTTAGGTGAACTCACCAAACAACATCGGGAAAAGGGCGCCACCCAAAAAATGGGTACACAATCCACCAGAAAATGGGAAACACCACGATTAATTCAATGATCTTAAGGGTCCGAAGCTCAGGAGATTGTCCAAATGTTCAAAAACCAACTGTGCCCACTGAAGTACGCAATTCGCCTTTGTCAAACAAACAACTACTTGCATAGGCGGCTCGTGAAATATCATTTTAATGCAACTTGTATGGACCCAGCAAATGCAACATATCACACACACACACACACACATCTTGAACAAGCTGCCTTTGCAGCCCGGTGGTTTGGTTAGGGGTGGGTGCCCATTTCCCCTTTACCAGAACCATGGACCCGTTCAATTCAGAGCACCAGTCCTAATGATCAACTAAGGGGTACCCGATGGAACTCCGTTTGCTCAAGTCCCCTGGAAAAAAACAAAATATATTTCCAGTAGTGATAGATTCCCTTGAAACCAAGAGGGGAGAAGAAAGCATATTCTTAAGCAAATGCAAGGGGAGGGCTGTGTCAGCCGCTTTCCTCAAAGCCTGCGCCCCGCGAATCTCTCTCAGCTTCCCTGCGATCTCTTGGAGAAGGATCTGCCAGCGGAAATTACGGACCAGGAAAACGAACGCCCCTCCAACCTTGGCCTGCATCTGGGCTACACATAAAATCATACGTGCAGATTCTGATTTATATTTAGGCTACTCTGAACTAGAACATAGTTTTGGAGGGTTGTCCCTCCAACAACTCAAATTGCCGGCTTTTACAGTGCAAAGTCCCCACAAGCTGAGGTCGGCTTCCCGAACCAATGCTTCCAGTCATAGAAGCTGACAAAGGGTTCTGAGAGACTACCTTCCTTTTGGGGAAGCTCCCTACTCTCCTCCATGACTATCAATGGAGGAGGGGTTGTACCCCCGACAAGGAAACATGAAATGGAGGAGGATGGAGGAATGGAGGAGGATGATTAGACAACTATGGCAAAGTCACACTATTCTGAACAACAGAGCGGTTCCCTGTGCCCGCTCCCGAGCGTGATTCTTGGGCGAGTTCGCCATAGTCTGATCCAAACTGATCCCCCTTTGTGGCCCCAATACTGCCTAACTAAGCTTTTGGGCAGCGGGCAGGACCCAAGGCCCTCGTGCAAGGCCGCCGGCAGGACACCCAGAGGTCTCATGATCTAGGTGAACAACCATAAAATCCTGATGGCAAACCTCTCAGGTGGCGATTCAATTGATTTTCCCGGGCTGCAAAGCAAAGGTTTGGAGACGGGTTGAAACAAAGAGACATCAAGCAACATTTTGAGGTGGCCCATGTTTGGGAACAACTGCATGGCACTGAGAAACAACGGGGCTTGAGAGGCTCTTGCACAGGACATGGCAGACAAGACCACCTAGGCCAAGCGAGACGTGCGACATGGTTTCCAGTAGTGATAGATTCCCTTTGAATTCGCGCCAACAGGGGAAGCAAACCATTGGTCAATCCCTGCCCCGCTCAGGTTTGAATAGCTTCAGCCCCTCCATCGTACAAATTCCCAAAACGACCTCACGGGCTTCGGATCTGAAGAGTGATGGATATTGTGTCTGTCTGCATGGTCCGAGTTCGGCTCCCCAGCTAAGAGTCGCTAACTTTTAGTGGGTTTTGTAGAAACTAGCACTAAACCCCAGGGCTGGGCACCACCTAGTACGCAGCAGTAAACCCAGAGGTCAAACAATGGGCTGGAATCCCATAGTGGAACTTGTTGCGGTCACCAGCCGTTTCATCCTGGGTTAAGAAAAATCCGGGCTCAACATGGAGGGGCGAGTCGAATCAGTTCAAGAACAGCCACGCTAGTTTCTGGGCGCCAATTGGCGCACGCAGCCCCAGCAAATTCAAAATGTCCATCTATATAATTACCTAGAGTCTCCATGACCCCTAGAAAACGGGGTTGTAACCCCTTAATTTTGGGTAATTGGCCCCATTTTTAAAAAGTCATGGAGACTCCAGGTACAATCACGGAGGGCGCCGATTCTTTGTCTCCTAAACGAAGCTCCAAGCTCCGTGGCTCCCAACAAAAACCTGCCGGGCATTCACCTCCCGTGCCCCAAGCTCCGCCTCCATCTTGTTCTTCTCCTGTCGAAACGGCAATGGCGCAACACAGGTGGCATATGGCGACACAGTCTCTATGCGTCCATCGGTGAACCCCTTGGAGCCCTGGTTTCTGGGCGAACTTGCCATTGAGAATTGCTTGTTTGTGGGAAGCCAAGTACTTTTAGGCCCAACATGGCCAAGGGTTCATGTATATATATATATATAATGTGCTTGTGTTTTTGGAGGGTACCCTTTTCAGGTTGGCTTACAGGAACACCGCATATGGGAGTATTCATTCGACCTTTGAACGAAGGAGCGCTAAGTGTTGCGCTGGCCACATGCTGCACACAGCTCATGGAGCTCAAAATGAAGACTGGCCTCTGCCCGACAGGCCCATAGTGGGTACAGGAGTCAACATTGAACCCTCACTTTCTGGTCTTCCCCCCAAAAATGGTCCAGGAACTGAGGGAGTGAGAAGCAACCAGCTTCAGGTTCGTTTTGACAGTGCGTAAAACACACTGGGCAAAACACCGGTCTTACGGCAAAGGACAAAGTTGCTCAATGGAGTCACCCCTCGGTCACCCTTGGTTCCTTCTTTCTTGACTCGAAGCTTCAGGTCATATCCAGGTGAAAACCCCCGGCAAGAGACCCACTCTGTGGGTTCTCTGACCTGCTGAGCTGACTGGCCAGCAAACATCAGCCTTGGGAGGCCTTGACTAAAATGAAGAAGAAACCCACCCCCAATGAAATTACAGTTTGCCAACTCAAACGATAAGTTCTAAGAAATGAGCAGTGTTTTTTTGCTTGTGTGGGGCCTTATCATTTTTAACTTGCTTACGCGGCGCCTACACCATGCCTGCGCGAAACGCAACAGTCCCACAGAAACGCCTACGCGAGACAGAGCTGACTAGATACCTACGCTGCCTACGCTGCCTACGCGGCAACGAGGAGTTCGGCTACAGGATGAAATGGAGATGAGCCACCAAGGGCCTCCGATGAAATGTTGGACGACATGCCGAAGCCTGCGCAGCCTACGCGCGCCTACGCGAAATCCGCCTGCTTTGTTTGGAAATCCGGGATATGCTTTTACCTATTAGAACAACTGGTCTACTAGCAGCAGTGCCGCAGTACGAGTTGCTAGCTGCGCTGCCGGACAAGCGAACCTTTTCCTCCCTCCGCCGGCACAGCTTGCGCCAAACTGCCCCTCACAAACGGTCACGCAACCATGTCATGCAGAACAACAACGTGAAACTCACACACAGCCGCCTACGCGACTGCCAACGCGAAGCTTCGCAACACGAGCCTCCGCTAATTGCCTACGCACGCTTACGCGGATGTGGCCCTATCAGTCAAACACCTACGCGACATGTAACACTTGTCGCCGCGAAGATGTGGGTCTTCATCCAGAAAAAATGCTGCTCAAATGAGTTCCTTTCGGGTGCCAACAAAAAGTCACGGTTGTCCTCTACAAAGCTGGATCCCGCCCTTCTATGGGTGCTCTGACTGGTCTCTGGCGTTGGAACCCCTGGGTTGAAGTCCACTGCGAAATCCCATGAGCCTGCAGCTTCTTTTTCTTGGCATACCTGTCAGGCAATGGGCGCGGCAACAAATCGCCTTGTCACTTGGAACCAAATGGAGTCGTCTCGACTTTTAGGGACACAGTTGGTGTCTCTTTGGCATTCCTTTCACGCAAATCTTTGTTGAGCTTGTCGAATCGAACACATCCTTTGCTCTAAGTTGGGAAATGGCTTGGTCGATGAGTGTCGATTGTCAAATATTGCTGACATGTGGGTGGGTGTCAAAATAGGGGGACCGCAAAACATGTGTGTTTATTCTGTTGACTTCCCTGTAAACCAGAATCAAGTTAAACAAATACCTAAACAAAAACACATACCCATAAAGACGGTTGTCAGAATCAAGCGATCAAACTGACTTGCTGGGGACAAGGGCCCCCTTGGCAAAGGGGGCCTACTCATGGCTACAATCTTGTTCTTAGACCCTCACAGGTTCCTTGTCAGCAACTGCAAGGGGCGTCTTTCCAAGACCTCGCTTGGTAACCCTTTGCTTTGTTTCTTGGAGGGGCGTCCACAAGTCAACCAGCGAGGCCTGTTCCCACAAAAACAAACGCTGGGGTCTGAGCTTTCGCGAAACATCTGCCAGAGGCTGTCGCTATGCGCCCACGAATCCATGCATATCCTCGCGGGCTTACTTCCTTAAATCCACAAAACGCTTTAACGATTGAATCACATAATTTCAACAAACAAACGGATAAAAGATACAACGTGGTAATTGAGAGTTTACATACAAACTTGCAAGCACTAAACAAGTGTGTTGATGTTGGATATATGTTAAACACATGTCAAACCACAATCTCGTCAGACAAAAACACGCCTTGTGTTTAGCACACAAATGATCTTCCAAAGCCGGTTCATGTTGGCCCCAGGTTAACAAACCCCCGGTTGACTAATAGGGGTGTTCCCCCCTTTTTGTGGGGTTCATCACTTTTAGAGGGAAGACCCCTAATAAGAGCACGGGTTTATTCACAAAGGGTCAACCTTCTGGCGTAGACAAAGCTTTGAACACGCTCACAGGCTACCTCGCCGGTGGCCGCGCGAATGGCAAGCGTGCCAATCACCGCCGTGTGAACCACGAACACAATTTGTCTGGAACCTCACTTGGATGATCCTAGAGCACCCGAACCCTGAAACAAAAGGCAGGGTGTGCAAAATTACCGGGGATCAAGATTGAACACCTGGTTTCTATAAGCAGCATGACACATGTGGGGTTAGTATGGGTTACATAACCGGGTCAATTGCTTGGAACCCGGGAATTTCAGCAAAACCAAGCCAGAACCCCGGTTTTCAACTTTCACCCTGCTGTTTTTTGGGGTTCAGACGCACCAAATTGATAACTCAATGGTAAATCAATGGTAACTCGCCTAGGTGAAAATCCACTTGAGTACCAAATCTCAGTTGCCCAGTTCGGACCCATAACTAAAAGGTTAACCTTGGGCCATAAATACACATTGGGCAACTGAGAAATGCTAAGTGCCGTGTAAACGATACCCTGGTAGCATTGTTGTAAGTGAGAATATATGTATAAGATAACCCATTATCATCGAAATAGGAACATATCTATTCTGGACCCAGACGGTAATTATTCAACCCTACAGGTGATGTCCAGTGAACCCATGCCATGTTTGTTTGGGCTGGCCGGTGAGCAGTGAAAAACAGGGTGCCACCCAGGCATGTTTAAGACTCTATGTTTAGTGAACCAGGGACTAGTTAACTTAGTTGCCTAAACAAACTGTGCAACCACCCCTCGCGCATCGCATCCAAAGAAATACAATACCCCCTTCAGAGAAGAGCTTTTTGCATTTCAAAAAGTGGGCTGCAACAACACTTGCAAGCTTCGATGTGTTTGAGGTGCCTTCTTTAGATTGGCTTAAACGGAAGCCAAAGGAAAAGCTACATTTTTGGATGTCCAACTCCCTCGATGTTTGAGGTGCCTTCTTTAGATTCGCTTAAACGGAAACCAAAGGCAAGCCATTTTTTGGGCGTCTCCCTCTTTTGATACTGGTGAACTTCCCCCGCGTCCAGGTGCCCGCACACTTGGACCTGCTCCGGCGCACGAACCTGCCAAAGAAGCCGCTGGTCGCTTGATTCAAACATATTCAAACCAAAACGGAAACCAAAGAGTGGGGTCACATACATATGTCCAAAGGGGGAAGTCCACAAACCATGATTAGACTTGGGCCCAGTTATAGAATGTATATTCTATTGTTTGCTTCCCTTTGAGTCACTGGCAAAAATATAAAATGTATCCTAAGTCTGACCCACAAACCTCGAAACCTCGCTTGAGATTGGCCAACAGAAAGCCCAAGCTTTGTCGCTAAACAGGTCCCAAATCTGTCACCTTGAGCGCACGAATTCACACGAGTTCTGCGCGTACAAAGCCCCCAGATGGCGCCCGCCAAGAGGGGTCACAAAGGGTTCTGATGGGAACAGATTCATCCCGGTTAATTCGGGTCCACCTCATCTATGCCTGGAAGAAGTGGGTAAATGTCAAACCCTGAGGAAAAAGATCGCTTGAAACAAAATCCTTGCAGCCTTTTTGAGTTCTGGAGCGCAATTGCAGGGCGTGCAAAAGGGCCGTTCCTTCTCTTTTCCAGTGCCAACACTCCCCAGTATTTTTTAAGCTTGGTTGTCCACTGTGGCTTGCGAGTCCTGAACGCCTCCCCCAGCAGAAGTAACCCACCCACTTCGTAGAGTTAGCGCACATTCGCAGGATTTAACGGGCATTTGCTAACTGATTGTTCCTGACTACTTGGGTGTTCGGCCAAGTTAGGGAGTGGTTGGCCACTTGGGTTATAACCCCCTAATGACTAACAAGGTTAACCCCCCAGAACGGGTGACTTATAGGTGCGTTATAACCTAGGTTGCCACAAACTTACTAACTTGGCCGAACACCCAAGCAGGGCTCTTCAAAAGGCAGGCTCGGCCCATCCGAATCCATAGGCACATGCGGCCCCAATTGCGTAACCCAAGGATCTTGCGAATTGCCGAGCTGAACAGCCCAGCCTTTTGAGGGAGCAGGAGGTTCTCGCTTGCCCAAAGGACCTGGAAATAAACGGATAACCATTTGGAACCTTGACACAACAACATGAAACCAACAGGTCAGATCTGGCTGTGGGTCAAAATTCAACCACCAGGGGACCGCAGATTGCAGTCCATGTTTCCTCTTAGCAGGGTTCCATTTTGGGTACCTATTTTTGACCCACAGCCATCTGGTGAGGGTTGAATCCCCACCCGTTCGCCACGCCTTCGTGCTGCCATGCATGAACTGCGGCGTGAAGGCCATCACCAAGAGCGCCTGGACGGTCAGCCCAGCTGGGCGCACCTTTTAGGACTAGAGTTTCTGCTTTCGGGTTCCCCCAAACGGGATGCTACCTGCAGATGGCCCAGGGTTTGCTGCTGGACACGCACCCTTTGAGACACAAACTCATTACCCGGTATTAAAATGGTCTACCCAGAACCATGTAAAGCATTAAGAAGGCGGACATCCGCAGCTAACGGTTGGGATTGTCCGCAAACTAGCCTTCATCTACCCGGGCTTTGATTGTGGCTCATTTGTTTTTTTTTTCGGGCTCCCCCTCTTGGGGGTTGGCTGAAAGGGAAATCAAACGGACAACCACTAGTTTTGGGGTACTAATTTTCAACCAGCACACATCCGAAAATAGACACTGATTCTTGATGCCAAAATTCCTTGGGCTCACGACACTGAACTCAAAACCCTAAAGGAAAAGGTAAGAGTAACCATTATAGTCATTGTGTTTGAGGTAACCTCCCATCATCTCCCATCAAATATGGAAGTGCACAAACCCCTTTGGAAGACTTTCTGTTTGAAAAGAAGACTGTGCACTTGCAGGTTTGCTGGTGGGAAGGACACTGAAATCGTTTCGCAAACAGCAACTTGGGAAGTTTGGATGTGTTGCCCCAGTGTCTGTGTGTGGATTCATACATCGCAAATGAGCTCTACCCGGGCACCAGTTTTCGGGATACGTTTTGCCGAAAGGCCACTTGCTATCTGGGCCCCTTGCAGAAGCAGCCCCCCGAAAAGAAACCTCAAGGAACCGACTGGGAAAGCCTTCTGAAGGCTCTGCGGACCTGAGATTTTCAAGGGACTCGTCGAACAAGTGAGAAAGGAACGACCTCCGAGCAAAGTAAAAGCTTATGAGACAATATGTTCGCAATTGGCCACCTCATTTCCTTGACACAATTCCGAAAAAGGGTGCGCCACAAACAATTTCGGGTCCCAAAGCAACCTCAGGTACGACATGTCACAACAACTGCTGTTTGAGGGACCTGTTCTCAAAATTGTTCTTGCATGGGGGTGGAAAACCTTTGAAGATGTCACTTGAATGGACCCAATCTGTTGGGGGGAGACATAGGAACCGAGACACGGCAAATCCACTTGCTAGCAAATGTACAAAACCCCAACCCAAACAACTTGGGGCTGGCTCTAAACTCTGCCATGAAGGCAACATCAGGCAACAAACAATCACTATATGGGTCAGTCAGGCCCCCTTGTTTGGCTGGGCTGCAAGGGAAGCCAAGAGGTCACCAACCCCTAACTTTGAGACACACCAGAGAGTGGGTTTGAAGCTTTATTTGAGACCCGGTGGATATATGTTTGGTGATCTGCCAAGCAATTTCAAGCGTCCCTGATTGAAATCCATAGCATGAGCAACGGGTGTGATATACTGCTCCTGGCTTTCCTTGCCACCCCCCTGGATCTTCGATCCTAGCCCCTTTGCCCATAACCTACACGAGACCTGCGCATGCGCGGGGAATTTCAGACCCTGGATGAACCTTTCATGAGTTGCAGGTTTAAAACTGCTGAGAGTTGACCGTCCCAAGCCTGCCACACACACAAACATGGTGCTTTCATGAAAACCTGCAAGAGTTGAAACCGTTGCTCCAGGAAGGCCCGGATTGATGTTCAGCCTCTCGTTCAGGAGGCTTTCTGCGCGCGCCGCACCCGAGGAAGGCCACAAGGCGGTGAGATTCGAGGCGAAGTGGCGATCCTCATGCCATTCTTTGAGGCGCCCCTGATTTGCGGCCACGAGGTCTGCCGCTGCGGCGCGGGTAGCCCAGTCGGAAAGTGACGTGTTGTCTAAGCAACTGAGGCGGATTGTCGGTGGACATCATCGACAGAGCTGCAAGAAAGCGCAACTTTGGTCCGGCAGGGGGCCTCAGTAAGTCTTATTTGGGGAATCAGTGGCGTAGAATAGATTCACAGAGACAAGGGCGAAACCTATTCAACGAGCCAGAAGAGGACCCAGGCCGAAAGTATCCGAGTGTCATGTTCGCACTCTCGGCTGCCTTCAGAACCCCCAAATGGGAGGGAGAAGGGAAAGCACCAGTTTTTGGGGTCATGCCTCCAGCAATAACCACGCCAGGTTTTTTTTTTTTGGTAAACACCTCCTTGAGTAGTGAGGGAAAAACACGGGGTAGTCCGCTAACGGTGACCCTGGGTTGGTCAACCCTGGATGAATGTGGGCCAAAAATATTCCGGGTTAAATGGGACACCCGTTGATCAAAACTCTACCAGGTGGGCGGGGGGGGGCTCTGAATCAAGTGGGTTCCCCTTAACATCAAGTGACCCGCAGCCAAACTCCTGTGCCAAACTGGAATATCTCTAAGGATTTTGGCCATGTGAAAACCCAAAAGGATTTAAAAGGACGCCATTGTTCGTTGCTTTTCTTCACCTTCCACTGGATCCAATGCATATCCCGTAAACACGAAGGGATAGGCGCGTGAAGGCCAGCCGTTCCTTTGGTCGGGGTGTCCAAAACTTGGTTGCTGCAACCGACCCCCCGGCAAAAAAATGAAAGCTTGTTGGGGGTTTAGTGGAGAACACCGTTATTTCAACCCAAAAATTGAAGTCTAAAGATTCAACCCAATAGCAGTCAAGAAAAAACAGGGGAACATCAACCCCCTAAGGGTTTTCCGAATGAACCAAGCCCCAAGTCAGGGTAGCCTCCCAAAAACCGGGGCACCCATGTGGAGGGGGTCGAAAGGCTCCCGAAGGCGCCTTCAGCTTCATGACGTCAGCGCAGAAAAGGTCCTCAGTCAGTTCAGGCCATGAATTTCATCTCCTGGGGCAACAAAGACCCTGTTAGGCAGTGACAAACCACACATGCTGACCAAGGGCACCAGTCAGAATAGCACACCTCTAGGCATCACAACACAATGAAATGGAGACCAACCCCAAAATGGGTGCTTGCCACAAAATGGCATAGAATCTTAATGGGTCCGGCACCCTTTAGCCGGGGATCAACCTGTCTTCCAGACGCTTCCGGGCTCTGCAAGAAAATGCATAGCCAGTTGGAACCCATTCTGGGCGCGACCCAAACCCGGAGGCAAATCTGTAGGTCTGAACAAGGAAGTCAGGACCAAGCTCTATTCGTCGTGTGAAAGAGATGGATATTTTTGCTTATACAGCAACTGATGGCAAGCCCGGAGTAAATTTCGGAAGGAAGGGGTTCGGTTGCATTACTATGTTTGATATTAATTTCATTGTTTCCCAGAGTATCGTGTTGAAAGCCAACATAGTTCGTCGTGAATGTGACAAGGTCTCATAAGGAATTTTGTGTTTTGGTCGACTTCGCACGTCCGCGTCCTGTAGAAAGGGTCTGATGGACAACTTTGCATTTCCCGTCAGAATCCTGTAACCATATGCTGGATTGACACGTGTTAGGATAGGGAAGCACAGAAGATGTAGGACATCAACCATACAGCATCATGACAATACGGAAAGAACGATACAATGATGCAACAAGGCGACAACAAAAGAGTTGTAATCAAAACCTGATATTCAAATGGCCGACTAAAAACTATGTCAATAATGAAAGAGGCAGCTGCACGCATTTATGGTGGGGAGGTGTCCCTTAACTTTTATCTACCCTGGTTTTGAGCCAGCGGCTCCAATTGGCCATGGCTCAAATCCAACTCGTACCCCCAGTGAACATCCCAATCCAACCACTAAAATAGGGGCCTAAAATGGACGGTGAATTCACCTAGCAACCAAAATGGGATCCCATGGGTTTTGAGCCAGCGGCTCCAATTTTTTCAACCCCAATATGGCCCTTCATCCCAAGGGCGCAAATCCCACCGGCCCGAATTACTGGCCACAAGGTTACGCCGACCGAATAGAAGTTGAGGTGCTGAGACCTTGGGCAACGCCGCCTGGCCGAGAAAATGTCGTTAAGGAGCTACTAAGGCGGGTTCTTAGGGGTGCTTATTAGTCTGGACGGACGAAACCCACGACGGGCACCAGTTGGGATTGGTGGTTTATCCCAACAGTCATAGGGCTTCGTCCACCCCAACAGGTGCGAAATGGATGTTGTCCACCCACAGCCGGAGGGCCGTCAGAACCTTTTTGGGGGTTAGGCGCGATTTGTCTCTCCACATGTCCCAAACTCTGAAGTGGTTCCCTTAGGAGAATCCTGTCATAAATGCTACATTCCCAACAAAATGAATATTGGGTCGTCGGGTAGTACTAAACCAATTTACCTCGGTTTGTAGTTGTATTGCTCCTTATATTACTGGCCCTGAGGCTCCATGTAGCTAATACTCAGTTGGCAGTTTTGGTGTCAGCAGTTCTTAGTCGTATGTGCCAAGGTCAACACCCACACTCGCGCGCACACACACAGACACACATATCTACCATAGGGGTTGGTAGGGATGCTCATTATTTCGGCCTTTATTTCCCCCTTTCGGATTTACTTATTAATCCACCTGGTGGGTGAATGAATGAATAGGGGCGTGCAATTCCCAATACGTGAAGGAATTACCCTCCCACCAATTGACAGGGCACCTGACAGGGGGACCTTCTGCATCAGCTCGCTACTGCTCAGAATGATTGAAAGTTCACAATAAAAACCAGAATGGAAATCCAGCCAACTTGAACAGACTTAGACCTTTTGCAAACACAAAGACACTTTTTTGTGCCGGTCGAAAGGCAACATGAAGGACACCCAAGGTGAAAAGTTAACCCTTGGGAAGCCTTTGGACTATAAAAAAGGTCTGGAAAACCATGGGGGCGAATCGACGGTATCCCGGGACAATTGCTTTTCCATGGCGTGTCACGCGTTCCATCTTCAGAAACCACTGGAGGTGGGCTTCATCCTTCCCTTTTGAGCAAGGGGCAAAAAAGGGTCACCCGATCCGAATAGAGCATAGACACTGAACCAACTGACCTGGATAGATACGCCACTGTCACAATGTGCCACAATCGAATTTCAATGATCAGTCACCGTGCTCACAATCAACCGGGGATATAAGCAATTAACGACGAAAACCAACACATTGAGGGAGGTGTCCACTATATTTTGGATCTGTTACACCCTGGCATGGAAGATAGCCCCATTTAAAAGGCAGGGTAAAGGCAACCCAGGCATGACAATATGGGCTTGTCTCAAATTATAGGGGAGAACCCTCCCCCCCAAACAGAAAACAAACAAAACCCAAAAACAACAACAATATACAAAGACAAAAGCTTGGTTTCCTGTTGGTGTCCTTTTTTACCGCCCCAAGGCTGGCACCCACAACAAAAGACACGGCGCCAACGTTCCTAAGTTTTGACACCTCTCGATCTCCAAGGACTCGGCAAGGACGGCTCGGCGAACTGAGAGCGAAGAGTTCCCCCCCGAAAAAATGGTCACCAAAGCAACCTCACTTAGGTCCTCACAATCAAAACCCGGTAGTAAAATGGTCGACCCAGAACCATGTAAAGAATTAAGAAGGCGGATCTCCGCAACTATTTCTGTCTGGGACTGCCCCTTACTAACTTTCATCTACCCGGGTTTTGAGCACGTGGCTCCAGCAGAGAGGTTAGAAGGGTACCAACTTGGCGAGCCAGGTCCGAGAGAGGGTGAATTGAACTCGATCCCTGATACTTTGAGTCTCAGTCCAAGTGTCAGCCCGAATTTCAGGGGCCCCCCCTTCACTCTTCAGGGGCCGTTCCCTGCCAGAATCAAACTAAAAACAACAGCAAGTGCATCGAAAAGGCCTGCTCTATGGTTGTCCGGATGGCCCAAACTTCGAAAGCCCATGCCTGAACTGATTGAATTCTGGAAGGTGCAGATCTTCACTCCCAAAACGGGCCTTCCCTAGTACTCAAGATGAGGGGTTTATCGGGGTGTAGGGATCCCCCGCCCAAATTGGCGACTGTCTGGCAGGAAAGGGGTCTCCATTCGCATAGATCCCCTTCGAAAAAATGAGAACGTGTCACCAGTAGAGATAGAATCAGCAGAAAATCGACATATTCTGACACCAATAGAAGCAGGTTGGTAGGGATTGCCATCAACCGAGGGAATCGCAGAGGCATGACAAATGGGTTCCTTTTCAGGTGACCCCCTCAAGCTGGCTTCGGCTTTGGCTTTCCCCTTGGTCCCTTCAACACCCGACAAACCAGGACGGCACCGCGTCAAACTAGAAAAAAATCCGCGCCCAAAAAATGGGCTGCGGCTTGGGTACGGATGGCCTCCGCAGCCTCCGGCGATCCATAGTTGCGGTCCCCGGCCTGAGCGCGAGCTTCGCCCAGCGCCCCCAGTTCGAGTCGCAGGGCCCCGAAAAAAGCGCTCCCAAGGATTGGCGACCGTTTGGGAAAAACCGTGGGCTTTCCTAAAAGAATGGAATAAAACCCATCTGAACCAGGGCCACCTTCATTTTTTGTTGGTTGCCTCTTAGATACGTTTTTTTCTTTTTGTTTTCCTTTTCTTTGCTGAACAAAGAGTGACTCAGGTCGATATCTGGTCCAATGAACCCGAGACTCTGCGCGGCGAGCCTGACTGAGCAGGTGGAGGTATTTTGCAGGGGAGGCTTGAGGAGGCTGGTATGGTAGGCAAAAACGTCCCATCCCAAATTTGTGTTTCTCATGAGTACGTCTTTTGTTCGGGGACCCTTTTGGCTTCCCCGTAAACGCAACCAAAAAGGGTATCAAAAACGACACACCCACATTAGTCCCGAATGGGCTCTCATTGGACCCTTGGCTGTGATCTCTCTCTATCACGAGCCTGCAGCAACGCCATGAGGTCTTCCAGCTGTTTCAGCAGCATCGATCCCTGACAGCATCCAACCCCAGGCCAGGCGCGAGGGATCTTTTCAGGATAATCCGTGTAACCCTGAATCTCACTTCCTGAGTGGATTGGCAAAAAAAAAGCCTGAACATTTTATTCACTTCCAAAATGGTCTTCCCAAACAGTTTAAAGTCCAGGAACTCAGGAAGTGAGGAATTGATCGGCCAAGTTGATTCATCCGGAGTCGACAAACACCTGCTTTGACATTCCAAGCTGGCAATATTTGGGCAGGATGGTTGATGCAAGACACCCTGGACCAAAGCCCCAGAAGACAAAGGCCAAGCTAGCAAAACTGGGCGACTGAAAGGTGGTTTGAGCGGAGGAATTCCATCCAACTCACAGAAAGTGGCAGCCTAAAACCTCCGCTCCACTCGCGCCTCGGGGAGAAACTTCCGCAAGCGTGTGGCCTCATCGGCTCGATGTGCGCCCGTAAAATGGGGCATCGGGGGTTGGGGGCCTTGTTGACATCAAGGCAAAGGAGAAGTGGCCATCTGGGGTATGAAAGGATGAAGGGATGGAGGGGAGGAGAGGGGCCCCGTTTCAGAGGCTCGTGCTTTCAAAAGGGGCCCCCCTCCGCTCTGAATACGCATGTTTTCGGTGATATGAACCCCTGAAGAACAAATGCGATGGTCAAATTGTGTGTTTTTGTTTTCCTGGCTTGATCCATAGGGGAGTGTTGCGTTCACAAGGAGTCCTTCACTTTTGGGGGAAATCCCCAACATAAGCCAGGTGACGAATTGAAAATAGATCAAAACAAACGACTGGCTTCAAGGTAAACGAAATGGGGTTTTGATTGTGGCTCCCCCCACGAGTTGTTGGGGGTCCGAAGTTAACTTTGGACCTGGAGTCATTGAGAGCCGGGGTTCCGCATTGGATTGGAGGCTGGAAAGGGTCTGTATTGGAGGGGGCATAGCTCTTAGCTAAGATACTAGTCCAAAAAAAGACGCCTGGAGTCATTGCCCTTCTGACAAGTTTCAAAATGGAGGTCAGGACTTTGTTGCGAGCAAAATTGTGGAAACCCGGGGACCGAATTGGCAAAGCCAGGGTCAAATTGGCTACCCTTGTTTAAACAATTGTTTAAACAACTTCCCGTCTTTGTCCTACATGAAGGGGTCAGGGTCTGGCTCTTTAAAAATGATCCCACTACCGTGCTCTAGAACCTCCCAAGGCTCTTTGGGCAGCCCTTCGGGTGTGGTGGGTGCCCATGGCATACTGCAGGTAAAGCAACACCTCTCAACGGCACAAAACACGGCAACTTGAAGCAAACCGGGGGGTTGTTCACTTACTTGCAAGGTGAAAGGCATCCCGGGTATCGACGTGGGGGAAATTTCGCAACACTGGACCACTGTGTGAACCTGCTGTTTGTGGTTCGCATGTATAGTTGATAGTTCACCAGCCAGACAAAAGCAATGAATCTCACTGCATCTTCATGTGTGAGATCGGTAAGCCGGGATTTCATTTGCAAAGACATGTTCTCACAATGGTTTCCAGAACCCACAAACATCGCCGGCTGAAAACTTGGACAACCAATCCTTTTTGGTTCTAAGATGGTCTTCCCAAATAAACCAGCTCTGAAACTCGAGTGAGTGAGTAAAAGCAAACTGCCCACAAATTGCAAAGGTAGTTCCCCTTAAATCATGGGGTTCCAGAACCCCGAACATGGGCGGTTCCCTTTGCCCCATTGAAACAAAGCCATCCCAACCCGCTGCGAGAAGCGCCGTCGTTGGGCTGGGTGCTCTCCCAAGCGCCGGGCAGTGTCCAAAATGGCCTTGGAAACCAGCGGAAAAAACCATCGCGGTCACAACCCTAACGCGCGAAAAAACAATTTTTGGGGCACAACTGGGCGACCTTGGATCAGCTTCCCTTAAAAAAAGGTGGTTCGGATTGTTTGGTTTGGTGGTTCAGGGTATAGTTTCCCAGTCACCCTCTATTACGTGAGCTCTACAAGACGGGTTCTTTTCGCATGGCACAAAACACCTCATTGTTTTCGTTGCACACTAGAGCCCGTTTTCTGGGTCCCCCCTGATTTTGGGCAAACGAGTTCATTGATCCCTTGCAAAGATTGCATGTTCTTGTGGACATGGCTAGGGACCGCCCAGCCCAATCATGAAATTTCCTGGGAACCGCAAGCGTAGAACGACTCGCTTGCAAAATCCAGACAGGCCGGGCAACGGGAGAACCGAATTTCTAGGTTTGAGCTGTGGGGGTTTGGCAATCTTCTTAAGGGCCACGGGATCAACCCTAGGCTTAAGGGAATAATATGGGTGTGTCTTTTGTTCGGGGACCCTTAAAATGGTGGTTTTCCTGTTGGGAGGTCTTTGAAAGCAGTCCAAAGGGGGGCGGTAGGAATTTCATTTGGGACACTTACGGGTGTATGGGCTGTGGTGAACTAAATTTATGGGTAGCCTAGGTGAATCTCACCACCACCGAAGCCGAACACTCAAGTAATTATCATAGCACGCAAGCCCTCCAACCCCCCGTCTGTCCCCAAGTACGACTATGATAAGGAGTCATTCGGGCCTGCTTTGGATCAAACCACGGGGAGTAGAGTGGGAGAGGGGCTCCCTATATGTCCCCAGTCTCCTCCTAAAACATAACCCGATCAGGAATCTCGTCTCAAAGTGGCAACCAACAGGTGAAGTTTAAACGGGATTTTAATTGAAGGAAGGTTAATGGGTAATGTTCACCGTGGATTAAGAAATCCATCCTAGTATTGGGGGGGTGTTTCCTCCAAAAGTGATGACCCCTCCCTGAAAGGGGACACCCTTCCCCGTATTTGATCAACTTTATTGATCCGGGGTCCCATTGCCCTCAACAAAACACCCCTCAATTGGGTATGCCTCATTTTTGTGAGGATGTCTTTTTTGGGGGGGACACCCAACATTGTTGTTTTCTAGTTGGTTTCCCTTTAAAACCGCAAACCACCCACGACTGGAAAAGTCGCGCAGGATCTTCCTCAACAGATTTGGGTGTGCCTTGTTTGGTTGTACCCCATTTGTAATTTGTCTGTGTGTTTTTTCGAGGGAACCCAAAAAGAACTACCCTTTTGCTGGGCTCCGAGTCCTCCAAAAAACGTGTCCAAGCCAACATGTCCCAAGTGCATGTCCAAGTGCCCGAGTGCCCGGCGTTGGCCAGGTTCACCAGGCGCTTTGGCACCACCGCAAACTTCCCCGCCATTTCTGGCCGCGCGTTTTTCGTGAGTCAACCCCCCCCCCTGGTCGTTGGCAGGCCGAAACGCCCCCGGGGCGAACCCACAGCAGGGCCCATTTGCAGTCAATTGCGGCACATACGAATCCGGCGCCTGCGAGCAACCGGTTTTTGGTGCTTTGAAGGAAATCGGAAGGAAGCTGCAGCCCTGTTCAGGGGTCAACCTCAAAGCACCGCCTTGGCTCGGGCGGTTCGTGGCTAATGTGTTCACAGAATCCAACTCCCAGCCCATCCTCCAAATCAGGCCTCAGGGCCTGGTTGGGGTCTTATTCAGTCTCAAGAAAAGAGCATCTCAAAACAAAAACGCCCCTCCAATGAAGGGTCCCCGCCGATGCTTAGGGAGGGCAAGAAGGGAGGCAGGGCAGGGGAGACTGAGTAGCCCCACGCTGCGCGCATCGGGTGAAGGCGCTGCGCGTGCTCTCCCGGTGCTGGCGCCTCTCAGGTCACTTCCCCAACAAAACTAGTTCTGGTCAAAAAACAGGCTTCCTCTCTTGCAAAGCTGGCTTCTTTGCGAACCCCCCGCCCCAACAAACAAAAGAAAATTCGTGGAATCGCCCCAGTCTTTCAGGGGGTTTGATTGAATGGCGCTTCAGACCAGCGATGCTCCCATTCAACCTGCCCCGAGACTGACTGGGACTCTAAATTTGGTACATTTCAAATGAGAGACCTCATCAAGCGGTTAAATGGGTGTGTATTTGTGTGAAGGTACCTTTTTTTGGGTTGGTTTACAGGGAAACCAACAGGACATTGGACTCTCTTTTTGGTGGGGGTCCCCTAAAAGAACACCGACACACCTAAACCTTTGCGATATTTGAAAATGCAATTTTGACGGGTATTCACCATTATCTGGAAGATGGGAGATAAAAGGGATGTCAACCCTAAGAACAGGCGTGCTTCGCGGTATTCTCCCTTCAGCGATGATTCGAAGGCTTGGCTGTCATCTATGCTTCTCTGCTTGTTCATTTGTTTGTTCGTTCGTTCGCGGGTTGGTTAGTTGTTTGACTGGGTGGTCGGCTGGCTGCCTGGCGGGCGCTCGGCCGGTCCGTCCGTCGTGCCGTTGATTTGTGCTGTGTGTTCACTTGTTGGGAATCATGTTTATGTGTGTGTGTGTGTGTGCGTGTCTTAGTTAGTTGGCTTACTTCTTTGCTTGTCTCTGTTGTTTGGGCTCCACGTGAACCTACGATAAAAGCCTTAAGACCGCAACAAAGGTCTGGGTTCATTGAAGCGAATCTTTTGCCAGGGCCTGGTGTCTCTGCAAACAACTATTCACTCGGACAGCATGTTCGGATGTCACTTTAGTGAACCCAGGTTGCGCAAAGAAAACACGTGACTCTTGCAAAAGCACCCTTGTCACCCTGGGTTTACCATTCAATCCACCCCCATGGAACGAAGTGGGAGGTTCTTGGAAGACGATTTTCTCCCGGGACTTTGTGGTGGGTTCCATGTTTGTGAACGGGCGGGAAATCCCCCAGGCACGCCCAACACGACTCGGCGCGCATTCCGCGCCCCTTGCGCGAGGCTTTCTCGATCTGCATCCGGCGGAACTCCGTGAGGAAGTGGACGAACCTGGCACTTGATCGGATCCAGCGCTCCAATAGCGCCCAATAAGAAGTGGTTTTGGGGGGAGGGAGCCCCAATTAGCCCCAAATAAGGCCTTATTAGGGCTTAATAAGGGCTTATTCGGGCTCACTCCCCCTCCCCTCCCTCCCCCACAGCCCCCCTGACCTGGTTGGAGCTTGGAAAACATCGAAGGCTAAGCCTGACTAGGCAGGCGTCCATCCCATACAAAATCGAGGGCGCTCTAGCCGATGCCGCAGTGCACTTTGCTCGTCTGGCTAAGGCCTTTTGTGATGAGTTCAGTATCGAGGTTTCGAGGTTTAGAAACATGGGAAATGACTAGCGATCCCCCTTTTTGTGGCCCTTGTGTCTGCAGGTGCTGTCATCACCAAAGCTGTCATCACTAATATCATTCAAGTGCCAGCACCACATCAACTACACAAATGCCTCAACGCAAAACTCAGCTTGCCTGAAATTGGTGTTTTGGATTGCTCGTTTGGTGGTTGAGGGTAGTTTCCCATATACCTTCCACAAGAAACAGGTGTTCCAGTCCAAATCCAAACCAATCCAAACCAAGTAAGGGACACCTGAAAAATGCTCCCTCTGCATCCATGGAAAAAACAACAACAACCACAAGCTTGTAGGCAACAAACCATAGGCAAACGACCCACGAAAAACCCATGGATCGAACATGTTAAACTCACAGCCTCACACCGAAACAAGGGCAATCCCGTGGGACCCCATTCGCTACATTTCTCTTGTAGCCAAGAGCAAATGTCTGGGACCCCCAAACATTGTGGGTCCATACGCTACGTTGGGCCCAAATCTGAGGTGAATCAAACAAAAACATGTTTTGAGATTCTCTTCATACTTAGTCAACCCCCTATGGGTTTGTATCACAATTAGGGGCATTAAACCAACATACCATCAAACAAATATGAAATATGCTAATAGGAAAGCACCTCGACAGTGATTGAATCGATTGGTTGGCATGAACCCTCACCTATGATGTCCACCGAAGGGTCCCAACTAACATCCATATACAGCATGTCCTGAGAAAACTTTGAGCTGGGGGATGCCACTCCAGCCACAACACTGGCCGGCAAGGCAAGTTCCGCAGCATCAACGGCTCCTGTCATAGCAGTCAGAGGTGTGAGCCAACCGTTCACCAGGATTGATCCAAAATTATTTAAACTGCCAAACACTGGTTCCCTTTACAGGGAAACCCAAGGGAGGTTGTTTAAACAGGGGAAACCCAATTCATCGTGTTTTAACAAGAACCAGTGGCTGTGGGAGCGTTAGGAGGCTATCAGAGGGCAAGGAGATCCAATAAGCCAATCTTGCGACTGGAAGACTGTCAGCAATAGTTCCTCACCTAAAGACGGGCAATGGCTCCAAAAAAGTCATCACATAAGTTGGTTGTCCGATCCAACCCCATTCCCATCGCTGCTTAGACATGTCTTTTGAATGGCCCAAAAGGAAAACTTCAACCCCGCCTCATGTAGCACCCAGCAACATGTCAGCAGAACCGTTGTGTTGGTTGAATTTCTCTCGCCCACCTAAAAAACGAAGCCCCATGGAGGAATGGCAAGCCAATTTGGGTGTGTCTGCGTTTCAGGGTACCTTTCCGGAGTGGGTCTTCTTGTGAATCCACATGATGTTAAGCCAAAAGGTCCACCAAGAGAAACATCAGTCTTTTTCTTGGGAAAGCCAAAAGGTCAACAGTCCTTTTTGTTTGCTTCTGTCTAAAAGACTCTTTCTGACACAGCGCACACCGCCGGCCCGCTCCAATTTCTCGCCGCTGGGCTGCGCTGGAACATCAGGACTCCCCGTCACGCATGGCGATGGTGCGTGTGCGTGCAGGGTTGGGCAATTCAACCGCTTTCTAAACGAGTCTAAACCATTGATTTGAACCAGTTCCTTTCTGTTTCCCTAGTGGCACCGGGATCCTTTTGTGTTTAAAGCGCCTTTTTTTTAGACCGGCTGCTGGTTTCAAGAGCACCAGGGTCTGGCTGTTACCAATTTGCACAACCCCGGTGTAAGCCTTGCCATTGCATACGCGAATTTGCCAAATCGTTCTCAGGTTGCGCATCTGGGCGTCTAGCGGGGGATGGATCTTTTTGCTCGGCACTCTGCGCTTAGCACCGGCTCAATGCTCGGCACTCGGCGCTTAGCACCGGCTCAATGCTTAGCACGGCTTACACGAGGCAAGCGCTCCAATCTCGTTTCAAAAGCCGATTTGGAGCTGGATACGTGGCTTGCCGCGGTGGTCGGAAGGTTTGGGCCTGTCGAGGGAGTTGGCCAAAGTGGGTGGCGCGTGGTTGGTTGCGCTTGTCTGGAAAGTTGGCTTGGTGTTGGTTTCGGGCAGCTGTAGTGTGGGTTCAGGCCATCATTTGAGTCACCATGACCACTGGTACTAGAGGGATCCATCCAAAACCTTGTAAAGAAGCAACAGGCTTCTCGCCCGCACCTGTTCCTTACTTGCAAGGGTCAAGCAATTTGATTCTGGCCCAATTGGGCATTGCTTGTTGGTAGGTGGTCTTCACACACCTCTCACTGCGGGCGCCAGGGCTTGCCGCATGTCTGGCACCCATCATTGCCCTGGCAATCGAGGCACCGACTGAAGGACCGAACGGGACGCGGGTCGAAAGCAAAGGAACAGAGGAGGGTATGACAATCGGCCCTTTCTTGGACTTTGTTGGGTTGTTGTCCACCCACCCCTGTTGCAAAATCGGACCTTTGGGCCTTCCTTGAAAGGGTGATTACCCTACAAAAACGCGCACACCCAGGAGCGTCCAAGACTCCTAACGGCATCTGAAACTGCAACATGTACGAACCCTACCTGGAACCTGGAAGAACCCCTCCAAGGAGGAAGTGCCAAATTGTTCTAGGGGTATCTTCCCCATTCTTTCTAGGGATCCTTCTTTCTAGAAAACCCAGGGAAAACGGCCGGTTTTCGAAAAGAACAATGGTTGAAAAGAATGGGGAATCAAGCCCTAGAATTGTGAATCATTGTGATAATCACAACCTCACAATGCTTCTTTTCACCAAACGCATTTCAGGCCTTCCGCCTTGTGGGGGGCCCGATGCATAGCTCACCTCGACATAGGTGGCCACAACCAGAAGACCAGCACAGGGTTGATTGCTTTGCCTCACTTCCTGGTCCTAAGTGGACTGGCCCAACAAATCTAAACTGTTTGCTTGCCACTCAAATGGGCCAAGCCCAAACAATGACTAAAGCTCCATGAACCCAGAGAGTGAGTTGCTTGAGGTGTCAGGTTTTCAGATACCAGACTTGCCAGTCATGACCACTGGGAGCAGTTCCCATTTGACAGATCGATCGGCAGCCTATTGTCAGCTGTTTGAAGGGGCCCACCCTCTACTATGTACAAAAGTTGGAAAAAAACACTTCACCCGCACTGCAAGAATATTGGCTCCTGGTAAACCTTCATTTGCTTAAGTCTCCCAGAAACAAATAAACATGTTTCCAGTAGTGATTTCCTTTCCCTTTAAAATATCAACAGAGGCAAAGAAACAACATCCTGAAGCAAATGGAAGGACACCCCAAAATGGGTAGCTTCATCTTGGAACCCCTTTGAACCAACCCAAAAGGGCACGCCCAAAAGAAGACACACCTATAGGCGCGTACCAACTGAGTCGTGAGTCACGCCTTTCTGCCTCAACGCAGCATCCCATGCATGGGCACCATCTGGCGGGACGCCTAATATTGTCAAACAGCTGTAATCCCTCAATCTCATTGTACGACTCCGGCGGCTTTGCAGACGAGCTCACAACCTTGTGCGGGATTCGCGCAAGAAGAAGCTTGCGCGTGGCCCGAGACCCAGCAGCCAGATCCAGAGCCGATATACGTGAGCCTCATGTCCAGTCTGCTCATGTGTAGCAACTTCGGCTCTGTAAGCAGTGTCATCTTGATGCACATCTGCCTCAAGCCCGTCGCGTCACCCTGGCAGATCGGAAAGCAATTTTTGATCCATGTGAAATCCCAGTGTGCAGAATCTTCCCGCTATATAACGGACTTCTCAGGTCCCAAAATCATTTCAAGGTCTTCCGGTTTCCCCTCCCGAAAACCAACAAAACCAACAAAACACACACGCCAATCAGAAAGCCTGACCCCAGCGCTGATTGAACTACTCGCACAGAAGGTTGATGGTTGTTCACTATCAATAACATGGATAGTGCGTATGCCAAAAGCTGACCAAACTACCTTAATTGAGTGACAATTTCAAACGAGGAAAAGCCGCTGGGAAAACCTAATCTTGAAGGCAACCACAAGTCAAACTGACGTGGCCCCAAAACTCAGAAGTTTTATTATTGTTTCGAAACAAAAACATATACAAAACAGTTTTATTATTGTTTCGAAGAAGAAAACATAACATGTATGCATATTGCTTACTTGAAGCACACAACAGAAAGACATTCCAACGCGTTAGACTTTGGCAACTCTAGGTCAATCAAAGGTTTTCCTGACCAGTTCTGCTGATCCCAAATCCTTCCAGTCCCCAGCTTCTCCATCCGACGCGTCCCACTCCATCCGACGCATCCGACGCGGCCTGGCCCCATTGCTCCATGCACCCGGCGTGGAAGGCGTGGCCACAGGCCAAAGTCTTCAAAGCCTCGCCCACCGCGTAGCCGTCCAGGCCTAGGCCGAGGTTTCTCTGGCCCAAGCGACCCCAACTTGCAGGTGGGTCCCGTCCAGGTTTTGCAGGTTTTGGGTGTTTCCGGGGGGATGATGCGGGGGGCTTTTGGTTTAAGCGATTCTGGGATATGCCGGAATAGCTAGAATAAGGGCCCAAATCGCCTGAGGAGGGACTTGCGGTGAGTCCCTTGCCCTTTCCTTCAAGCCCCCAGGTTCATTCCGAGATCTCACTTGCCCAAGGCTTCTGGAAATACAAGGAACTCCTTTTGAGACCTTGACGAAAATGAACCAAAGTGCGAAACTCCAACGATCAAGAGGACATGAGCGATTCCTTACTGAGAAGCAAGAGGTGAGCTCCTTTCAACACCTGAATCGGTGATTCCAATATACCTGGACTTTTAGGGCATGTCTGTACAACTAGAAATTCCCCCAGCAAATAAATGTCTTTTTCTCGGGGGGTGATCTCATACCGTACCTCAAGAAGGTTCGGACTCAGAGTGTGCCTTACTTCGAGTTGTTGGGGGTTTGAAAGGAAACCAAGCGAAACACCCAGAAGTGCTTGAGGGTGTTCCCCTGTTTAGAGAGAAACTCAAATTGGGACTCTGAGGTGGTCACCCCCAGGTGCGCAGGTAGAGTGCTTGGGTGCCCGGGCAAATGGGGCAGGCCTGGCGGTGAGCGCCCCTCCAAATACCACACGTTCCAATGGCTAGAAGGGTCATCCAGTTCTCCAAACACCAATTTGTTTTGTTGGATATACCTTGAACAACCTGGTTGTCCAAGGCAAACACCTCCTCTTTTTGTGAGGGGTCGACATTATACCCGATTATACCCTAGAAACAGTGCCCTTATAATGGAGGTGCGTCCTCACCGGGTTCTTTGAAGGATACACCAAAACCGTGCCAAAACCTTAGAAATAATCAGTCAGGTAAATGTGGAAAGCCTTCGAAACAGCGGGAAGAAGCTGGTAGAGGTGGTATTGAATCTGGCCACAATGTATCCTATAGGGAACCATGTCCTCTCCAAGTAACAAACCTTTATGCGTGTTCGCTCGTTTTGCCAGCTGAGCTCAATATAATTGTTGCAGAAATAAATCGGTCGTTGGTGGACATCATTTCGGTGGGAATCATGTTCAGCATCCGCTTTGGAGGTTCTCTATTTTCATGTGTGTTCTATTTTCTGAGGAAAAAACACATAGCCATGTAGTGAGCCAGAATTTGTCTTGAAGAATCTGTTCCGGAACTGGCGCAGCCAAACCTGGGCACGGGAGCCCAGGAGTACTGAACTTTTGATGGAGTAGTACTTGGGTGGTTGTTGCCAAGTTAGTAAGTTGTAGCGGGAACCTAGGTTGTCACCCACATATAAAACCCCAAGTGGCCAACCACTTGCTAACCTGGCCGAGCATCCAAGTAGGGGGTGCCCCCTTTCAGAGTTGCAAACCGGGTCACTAGGCAACACCCGACGCAAATCCATCAGGTTGAGCAAATCCTGAATTGCCATTAACCAGCTTACAAGCCCCCAAAGGTTCAAGTTGAGTTAATCTTGCAATGTAAAGGGGTTGAATTGTTTCCAGCGTTTTGCTCCTATGATGACTCAAGTTGGTTTTAAAAGTACCCCAGATCATACTGTGGATGCGCGAAATCCAGTTGGGATTGGTAGATTGTCATCTGCCCCAGAAAACCTATGAAACCCCTATGAAAACTTCCCTAAGCTGAGCTTGGTTCAATACCTAGTTGGCTGTGGCTCAAGCAAATGGTACCCAACATGGCACCTAGGTAAATGGAAACAAACACATTTTGAGCCATGCCCAAATGGCCTTGCAACAGGTAAGACCTCGTCACATTGGGGGGGTTGTCAAAATTAGGGCTGCACTTTTTAAGGTATCCCCAATAGAATGGCGGCACGCACGGCAGGGTCCAAACAGGGGCTGTATGTTTTGACCACCTCGTCACATGGCTGTGGCTCAAAACAAATGGTACCATTTTGGGGTAGGTGCACCACCCATCTTAGTCTATTTTAGTAGGGATTGGGATGTTCACTGGGGGTACAGGATTTTGACCCATGCCATGGCCACATCCATTTCCCGCGCCAAAAAACCGCGGCTGGCGCGTGAGACGTCGCTGGCCTTGGTCTCCAGGGACTCCACTGACTTCACCTCGCTGGTGGGCAGCGCGTCCTGAGAGTCGAGTCGAGTCGAGCGAGGAGCGAGTGCACGGATGAAAATGAATGGAAGAATGGAAATGAAGGGAAATGAAGGGAGGTGAGGAGAAATCACGTGAACTTAAGGGAAATAAAACGAAGCAAGGGAAAGGCATGCCCTGGAAGGGAAATTCAGGCGAAGAACATGAAGGGAACTAGAAAGAAATGAAGGGAAAAGTTAAGGGAAAAACAATGAAGGGAAGGAGGGTGCCTGGTGGTTCTGTCGCGTCAGCGTGTAAACAACTTTAAACGAAAGGGTTTCCTTGTCTAGGTCCTCCAGTAGAGAGGTTAGAATAAGGGTACCCTTTTTGCTGTAATCTATTTCAGTAGGGAACGCTCCCCCAACAAAGGGTAAAAGGGCACTACTGGGGGTGCCGTGCTTGCGATATCTAGGACATCAGGGTCATGTTGTGACTACCTGAGTAGAAGTCCACCTTGTGGTTAGACATGAATCCTGGCAAGAGCGGAGACCCATGTCTCGAAGATGATTCTACTGCCCCAAAAGCCACTCCCTCCGTGGGAACATGCGGTATATAAAAGCTACGAGGCTATATAGTGGTGTCTTTTTTCTTTCTCATGTTCTCCTGGCGGTGGGTTCCGCGGAAATCGTCTTCCCACCTGCCCAGCGCCCATGCTCAAAAGCAGAAACCCCTTGGGCTTGATCACAAAGAAATGAACCCAGCGACAACCATCCAGTGGCGACTTCACCATCCTCAGGGATTCTTTCTGGCCAAAAACCCCGGGGAAACCGGGTTGATCAGGAACGCTGGTTGAAGTGGGTGGGGGGTCGGTCCCTAACAAGGGAGAAAAGAATGGCGAGCTGCTGGGCTCCACTGGGTTTGGGGATCAGCCAGAAGTCCAAAACCTGAAGATCGTTGTGTCCACATTTCGGTGGAACTGCTCAAACGCTCGCCAGAAAGCAGGCACTTCCCCTCCAACCACATGGGTGGCTCAAAATTAAAGAGCCAGGGTTGCGCATGTTTTACTCTTTGGTTCCATCTACCAAGGTGCCATTTTGGTACATTTTTTGAGCCACAGCCACATCGTCTTGCCACCGTCACTGCCGCGATGCGCCCGCCCCTCCCATATATTCTCCGTTCACAGACAGGAACTCCTTGGGCAATTTGCCGCAAGTCGCCAATTTCCCTCATAGTGTTCCACAGGCGCCCGTTTTCTGGCTTCGCTGTCAGCCTCATGACCAGTCGTCGCATCACATCGTCGGTGATTGACTTCAGCATCACTCATCGTCATAAACATTGCCGGCAGATCTCTCAGCGGAGAAGCCGAGCAAGCCCTTGTTGACGAGCACCCCCAAAAATTGTGGTGTTGGACCAGAAGTGGGTACCCTCAAAACATACACACCCAAATGGAGAGGAAACTTGCAGGTCTTATCATATTTTTCAACAGGGTAGTTTAAAAAGGACTACCTGGACTCTCCATGACCCTTTAACATGGGGACATTACTGGACCCCATGTTTGTACAGGTCATGTAGAGTCCAAGTGCATGGTCAAAATAGGGAGACCCCCCCCCCAACAAATGCGACTTTCCGCTTGTCTCCCCTTCAAACCACCCACAAAAACGGGTACCCTCGATCGAGCTGCCCAGTCCAAACAGGCGATAAGATCCATGGTGCCATCTGTCGGGGCCTGGCGTCGAGACTCGTAGGGGCTTGAAACCAAGAAGCCAACAAGTTCAAGGACAATCCGCTTGAAACCAAACATAGGCCAAATGATCTCCCACCAACAAACATGGAAGTGGAAAACAAATCCCCGTTGCAAGAGGAAAGTAGGCTTTCCACAAGGGGTCTGTGCACTTCCATGTTCGTCGGTGGGAGGGTAGCTTGTTGGGTTTCTGTGTATACCTACATTTAAGGAAAACCTCTGGTATACATCTTGGGTCGAATCTGGAGTGCTCAACCAGAACAGTCCGGGAAGTCTAATTTAGAACGCCTCCCATGGCGCCTTCCAAGTCCTTTCGCATATTTCCGTTGAGCCCCTTGTTTTGAGTCTGGAGTGCACCTAGGGCCTCCAGTGGAGAGGATAGAAGAAGGCATTTTTTCCTGTTGTCTATTATCGCGGAACCCTCCCCCAAAAAAAAGGTAAAGAACTACTGGGGGACCTAGGCACCATCCCAAACCTTGGTGTATGGTGGTTTCCTTGTCATTCTCATCGTTGTTCAATCATCCTTATTTCCAACCGGCCGTTTTTTCTTTTTCTGGCGTTGTTGGCGGGTTTGCTCCAAACAAAGCACCCATAGAAAGGAGAGTTACCCCCAAATTGTTGGACAGTTCCACATGGATTCCACTTCTACCGACGAAGAAAAACCATGTAAGCAAGGGGCGTGCGCTTCTGGCTAAAGACGTGATGTCCAACATGCATTCCCGAAAAACAGCAATGGCACTTCCTGGTGTCTAAACAAGTTTACTGGGACAGGGCCTTTCGTCGGCTAGGACGCAATTTTGCTGGTACCACTCTTGAACCCCAAGTTCCCACATCCCCCACTGAACCCTAAAACCCACAAAAACCCTCAGGGGGATGGGAACCACCAGGTGACCTCCATAGATTGCTCCCTCGGCCTCGATCTCTGTGCCCTCCATCGGAAGAACCTGAGGGCAGATCTGGCGGCTTTGCCTATGGTAGAAATCCATTGGTTGGTCTGGCTTCAGCCAATTGGGGGGTCCGGTCCTCTATTTTGGTAGGGGCAGCCTCCCAACCCAAAAAGGGGTGAGAAAGGGCACCTAGCTGGGGGACCTAGTCTTCTTCAGCAGATCCTCCGTTTTTCCTAAACCGCCAGGCAAACCAGGGCCATCTATTTTTCCACCAAAACAACCAAAAAAAGAACACCTATGGACACATCTTCTTGAGCAACCAGTCTATTTAGTAGTGGATCCCTCCCCCAAAAAAGGGAACAGGGCACTACTGGGGGACCTAGCTAAGCACCCCGAGATCCTACGTTTTACGCACCTATCGATCCTGCAAAAAAAAACAACGTATTTAGGGAGAGCATCCAATGAAGAAAGAGTATGTGCCCTCCTTCTATCCAAGATGGTTTTCACTACCGCAAGATGGTTTCGACATGTTTCGACTATGGTTTCCACATCTGTATCTATCTAAGATGGATTTTAGCCCCAAAACCACCAAAACCCGTGGCAAAGTAGTAATTGATGCCCTTGTCCAGTAGGGAGCCAACACATAGCAAGCAAAATGACTTGCGGCAAGGCGGCAAGTGGGATCCACTGGGTGGTTCTGTAGTGGCTGTCTGCCACTAAACCCCCATAGTTTCTTAGGGGTACTGCCAACCATCTTGGATTCCGCGAAAAGTGAGGCAGTTGTGTAGCCACAACCCTTGCTGTTCGATATTTGTGACACTTCCGGTCATTTGGGAAACTCAAGTCTCCAAATGCCATAATTCGCCCTTTGTACTTGGTATGTCGCCAGCTGCAGTTGGTCTTCTTGTGGGCAACCCTTGAAACGAACCACCTGTCGGGGCCCGAAACTTTGAGAAACACCAGTGTTTCCGCAACACATGTTATATGGCCATGGGTCAAAATCCCGTACCCCAAGTGAACATCCCAATCCCCACTAAAAAAGACTATAAATGGATGGTGCACCTACCCCAAAATGGTACCATTTGTTTTGAACCACGGCCATATGTGTTTGGCATACTTGATAGCAGAACACTGGTGGGATGTAGCTTCCCAGCAACACATGTGGAACGCGGAAATATGGGGTTGCGGAACCACCGACCGCAACAAGTGGAGGGGGTCCTTGAGAAGGAACCCACAAAATCGGTGGTATCCCTCTGGCTTCTCACGCAAATCTCAATGGGCTCCAACAAGCTAACACCCAAATGAAGATGTTGGGTAGGCCCAAGATTTAGTCTACATAGTTGGAGAGGACAGGATCACTTCAGCTCATTTGCCCGGACAAATTTGGGACCCTAACTCGAAACCGAACAACTCGGCAAAGCTTCAAAACACCAGCTGGTCGGCCTGGAAAAACTAAGCCAGCAGGCAAACAGCAAAGTCTAGGATGGCGTCCACTATGCCAAGAGTATGTGGGGTGAACAAGCCATATGCATATATTACATATATATGCATATACATATATGGCCACGCAATAAAGATCATATACTTCACTTTGCCTTGGAGGGTTGTGATTTAGTGCAAACCAACTTAGACAGAGGTTCCCTTGTTCACTTCTTCATTCACCTGGCTTCGTCTGCAGATTGGGGGGAATTGCAACTGGTGTTTCCCTCTAACTTCCATTTGAACCCACTCCAAACAAGCGTAGTATAGGGGCTAAACAAGAACAAACTGCCTATTCTCTCATGATCACGAGAGGCAATCAATCTGTTTCAAAGTATCACATAAACCCATTCAAATTGCACTGGCCCGTGTACTGCCCTCCAAAGACCTCGTTCACTTCACGGGTTGTCTTGCTTCGCGCCCCAGCATGCCCGAGGCCCGCGCGCACCCGCCGGTGACGGAGCGTCCACCGAAGTCAGTGTTTCCACATCCAAAATGGCTGCCGCTATGATGGATCCCACTACCAGTCTAACCTAAAGTCCAACCACCATAGAAGAACCAACCAGGGGAAAGCACCAAACAAGAAAGGGCATCCCTGCATCGCTGAATCGCCGCAAGCTCAAGTCTTCGACTGAACCGAAGCTCGGCTCAAACAGGCCCAGTGTTGCGGACCAGTGCCCATGATCGAAGTAGCGCCGGGTCTCGTAGCTTCTCCGGACTGCCTGCCGCAAGGTGGGGCACTTGAGGCTTAAGGGATCGATGCGGCTGGGGGGGGCTTTTCAGGTTAGCTTCAAACCAAAAGGAAAACCAACATTTGCCTGCTGAAGGGCAACAAAACATGGCGACATGAGGGTTAGACCGGTGGGCGGGCCTATGAGGGCGGCCCGCTTCAGGTTGTTGGAGTCCGATAGCTGGATTCCATAGGCAGGAAGTACGCCCATGAGTGTCACACAAGTGATCCGGATGTCACTAAATGGGACACCCCCATCTCTCAAAATCAACCAGGTGTTCAATTTGGGGATCCCATGTCAACCTGGGGGTAATCCGGAGGACCCTAGAGGATCCCAAAGTAGAATATGTCGCCTATGTTTGTGGGTGACCTTGGTGAATCTTTCAGAATCAAAGGTTACTAACCCGGTACAAACAACTTGTTCGACTCGTCTCCACGGACTAAGCAACCGCAGTAGGAACTTGACAAAGCCAAGGAACACCGAGAAGCCAACACCGAGAGACCGAAGGCTAGCCTCAAGTGTACAGACACCAAGTAGAAAGATGGGATTCCAAATCGCCAAGCCATAGCTCCGAATTGCCTAATGGACGAAATCCGATCGCACCACTTGGAAACACTAGTAGAAATCATTCCAGGGTTTCCTAGGTGGTGCAGGATTTCGTCCATCATTAGTCCAATGCTAGACAATTGGCACCGGGTTGAATTGGAAACCAAAGAAAACTCGGCAAACCTAACCACTGTTCTACCCTTGGTCATCTTTGAGAGGCTCGTCCGCAACCCTCTGGGGCCAACCTAACTGCAATCGGAACCCGTTTGACCTGAAACCCGTCTAGCTGTCCGGTTCGGGTCTTATCATTGGCACGAGCGAAACCCACTTGTCTACCCTCGTTTATCCTTGTTTTACTAACCCTTGTGTATCCTTTCCTACCCTTGTTTAATTTCTACACCTCTTCTCCCTGATTCTCACTTCCGTGGATGTTACAAAACGTTTTTCGACTAAAATTGTCTTACCAAAAAGTCAAGTGCAGGATCTCAGGGAGTGAGGATGTTGCTTTGACTCTTTGGTTGACGCGGGTGGCCACCATTGGCAACCTGACAGGACCTCCTGGACCCAACCCCATCCGGCCGGCCTCCGCGTACTCCTTGGGGTCTTTCATGATGAGGTGCGAGGGCAAAGTGAAGGGGTCCTGGCGATTCCGAAGCTTCCAAACCTTTAGCCACCGGACCTACGGCGTCAGGTGTCAAGTAAGGTTGCTGAGTTGCTATAAGAGGTGTTTCAACCATAGAAACAAAGCAAGGGGCTGGCTGACCAAGGCTTGGGGAAGCCAAGAATATGCAGAAATTCGGAGGAGTGCAACTCTCCGGGGTGCTCAAACCAGCAGATCTGGACAAAATCCACCTGACTCAACCATGGCTCGGGGTCTCAAAATGAGGTTCTGTTCATTCCGTCTCAGGCGAGTGTTGGTATCATCTGGCTCATGGGTTCAGATCGAACAACTAGGGCTCAGGATCCCATGTCTCTCCTGCAGAAGGGAAGCAACCATCTCCAGTGCTTTTTCCGTCAAAATGGGTAGTTCCCCTCTAATTCCCCTTTCAACCCAACCCAAAAGGGGGACCCTCAGCCCTCAAGAAAAGACACATTTTTCTGGGATCCTGTCCAAGTGTCAACTCCTATGCGAACCGTGGAGTCCACACATACGCAGCATACATAACCGGACAGCAGAGAATAACAAATATTGCAGGTGAATACTGTAGTGCACGACGTAAAGTAAGTGCACGCTCACGGTATGCTGTTCAAACACGACATGACGTGAAAGAGGAAGCGCACACAGCAGCTTACGGTCGTATCCTTGAAGAATGTTCAAGACATGTATCCCACCCACTTTGTACCGCGTGGCTTCGCTTCCTCCTGGTGGCCTCTTTAACATCATTCCAACAAACCCAAAGGGGATTCACATTGGCACATGATCGTGAATGTGGTTTAAAAGGAATGCGCCAATGTGCATTCTCACTACGTATGCGCAAAAACAAAAAACTCATTCAGCTAGTGGAAGAACGCAATAGGCCCTGAGGCAGGCTGATCAAAATGGGGCCTTGTAGCATATCCATTAAGAGGATCCCTCTCAAAGTGCCCTGCAACATGAAGCTATGGCTCAACATTAAACAGCCAGCTGACGGCAGTGTTCAGTCAATTTGTTCATTCACTAGAGTTCCATTTGGGGTCCCTATCTTTGAGCCACTCTCGTATTGCCAGTACGGAACAAGTTAACTCCAGTAGGTGTATAATGATGCTTTGTGGCAGCTTTGCAAATCTCGACAAACAACCCGAACTCGTGCTGCTTTCCCAAGCTGCGGCAGCAAAGCACAGGGGCTGTGGCAGCGGCGAACAGGGGTCACTAGATTTCCGCTTCAGGTGGCAATTCACTGTTGGGTTCCAGTGGGATGTTCCACCGTTCGATGTTCAAATGGACACTAAGTGACTCCTGAAAGAAACAAACACATCCAAAACCTTCACAACACACACACACACACACACGCACACCCTCCCATTTTCCGCCTGGACACTAGTGGCAGCCGCGCAGACCACGCCCTCCTGGAATGCTTAGACCCGGACAGTGGGGTCTGAACAAAATATGTCCCCGACCTTCCTTCGACTGGCTGGGCAACTGTATATATGTATATATATATATACACATGCAACGCCCCCCCCATGGACCCTGGTTTTACTGCCTTTGGGGATGGTAAACCTACAATCTCGAGATTCACATTCTCGATGTTTTTTCCAATTGTGGGTCCCCAAAGCCTATTCCCAACATGGAGGAAATGAAGCATGGGGGCCTTTCGGGATCCAGCCGCGGCTCAAAAACTTGGACTCCCGCAAATTGCAGCTTGGTGAGTGGCAACAAAGACTACGACCTGTGTAACCCTACATCTTTCAAGTTGAGCCATACTCATAATCCTGTCACTTTGTGCCGCCTAATGTGGTCCATCCGAAAAAGGGCTCCACAATTTTGACCACCGGGCCTGAATGGCTGGGCTCGTTTGATACCTAGATGAGCTGGCTATCATTTGTGCCGAACTGATCCCTGCAACATGTGGTTGCTTTGCTGGTTCAAGCTACAAAGAGCGACCCAAACCAAGCACTCCGCGTGCAAAAACAAACCGCGAATGCTGAAAGAACAAGAAGCAAGTCGTTTGCAACACTGATGCCTCCTACTTCAGATACACGCCTTTTTAGGGTAGATGTGAAAAACAAATGTGCTTGTTTGTGGTAGATATCACCTTTAAAACTCGGACATTTGGAGTAGAGGGTGGCTTGTTCTTACCACCTATTTGCACATCCAGCGAAACACAAGGCTTATGTCTGACCTGGGCCAGTCTTACCACTCCTTCTCAGTCTCAGGTGTGAGAAACATGGGGATGCCCGAGTCTGGGGTAACCAAACACTGTCTTGGCAAGCCACAAAAAGAGCAAAAACCGGAAACAAGGACTCCTCACAAACAGGGGCCTTCACCGCGCGCACCTTCATTTTTCACTCATTTGGTGAGCTAGCATCGCCCATCGACTGTCAGTTCTACAACATGGTCGTAATGCTTTACGTACGCCTTACTAAAACCGGTAGCAGAACCCATCTACCAAATGCCAATCAAGGTTTGCGTTTAGGCTGCTTTATTCGAAGTGGCATGTGCGCCGTCTTCAGTCTAGCTTGGGCACCATTGGCACCTACAAGTAAGTCGGAGACTGCGATATGCGATATTGCAAGGAACCGCCAACATACGTGCGTGTTCTTTTCTACATTGACAACAGCAATGACCTCCTTGCTCACTTCAACACGGGCTTCGGACGACTCTCAAAGAATTCCAAGGGCTGACTTTGTGGATTGGTCCAACAAACAGTCCTCACTTTTGATCGATTGCCAAAATGGTCTTGCCAAAGAAATGATATTGCACTCACAAACTTGGACAGTGAGCAGGTGGGTGGCAAGTTAGGAAGTGATCAGCCGCACATTGAACAACATTATCCAATGTCCAAACACGTGGTGCATGATTAACTTGGCTGAGCCCCGAACAGGCTGGCTCTTCGCCTTTTTAGGGCCCTACGGTGTGTCGTAAAATGGGGGGAAACCAAAAATGGTGGCTTTCCTTTTTGATCCTCCTTACAACCACCCAACAAAGGGTACCCCCCCCCCAAAAAAAAAAACACCCCAAAGGGTACCCGCCAAAAAAAAGAAACAAAAAACGCCGCAAGAAAGACAGCCCTGGCCCTGGAGCCCCTGGAGCCCCTGGAGCCCCGGCGCAAGGCATGCCCAGAAGTGCTCCGAAGATCACCAAACGACACAGCTGTACCTCGATCTGTGGATGGACGGATTCCATCGTGGGTCAGCCAATGAGATCGAGGTGAGATCCAGGGATGTGGGAAATGGGGATGTGGATGGTAAGCCAATGACTGAACCAAAATTTGGGAGATTAGGCAAAAGCTTTGGAATGAACTTGTCTGCTCAAATGGGGGATGTGGGGGAAACAAAACACACAAAACAAATCAGCGTGAAGGTTGGTCAAACTTGTGGACCAACCTGTTGGTTGTGATTACAGGGTAATCAACCACAAGGAAACCAACCGTGCGACCACTTTGAAGAACCTCTTTCGGATCCTTTCCGTTTCTTTTTGAAACCTTCAACACAAACAGGGCTAATCAGGACGTCTTCCAACTCACCAAGGCAAATGCAGGGAGTACAGAGAGAGGCTTCCTTGAATGATGCATTGAGGCCTGCTGGGTTCTCAAAATAGGGGCACCTCAAACATGGTGGCTTTGGAGAGCTTCAAGCTAAATATTCACTGTGCTCACATGGGTGTACCCTTTGTGGGGTGGGATAAAAGGAAACCAAATGGAAAACACACACACACACAATTTTTGGGAGCCCCCTATGTTGACACAGTTTGAGACGTACCTACATGTCTTAGTGTTTGACTTCTGCTGCTTGCTTCCAAACCGCAAAGAAAAACACACACACACAAACAAAAACAACACATGCCTTTGTTGCCTGCTTCACCTCGCCTCAACGGCATACACATAGCTGGTGCCAATTAATACAAATCGACACCGCGCTCCATTTTGTTCGAAGGCAATAGTTGAAACTGCCCATCTTTCGGGGTCTTCCTTCGGCAACCAAAGTATGAAGTCCTGCAGCCCAGTGGATTTCCATGGCCAGGATCTGGTGCCCCTTTTGTTGGCAGTTGATTTTGAAAAAATTGAAGGCAACCCACTGGGAAGTTCAGCAGGTTGCCAATGTCTTGTCGAGTTTGTCTCCAGAGGGCCAGACCTCAGAAGCCCGGTGGCCAATGGCGGAAAAGGGTACCCGGATGTACCCGTTGTTTGTTGTTGGTTGATGTTCAAGGGAGACCTTTCCCAAAAGAACAGGGCGCCAAGGCGGGAAGAATCCTCAGGTTAGAGAAAGGTATCGCTGAGGCCCAATTTCTCCGATCGACTTCTTAGATTCTTGAATGAGACCCCAAGGACCCGGTGGAATGGATTCGGAACGTCCAAATAGTTGGCCTGAACTGGCGAAACAGGGGTCAACATTGGTCCCATCCAAGCACCTCACCCATAGAGCTGAAGCTTCGGTGCTTGATTCTATGAAGTTACGATATGTGTCATTTGCAGTCTGAACCCAAGTATGTGCTGGGTCCACTCTCTCAAAAGCCCACCGAAAGTGATATCATGGGAAATGCATCAAGTGGCCCTCTTAGTGGACGTGGACCACCCTCATTATAGACCAAACTAGGGGATAGGGATCTCACAAGTGATGCGGGTGAATGATGAGCAAGAACCCTCCGCCAGCTACCCCAACCCCCACGTCATGCGCACATCAAGAGGTACCGCCATCATCAAGTACCTGTGCAGGGGGAGGACTGAATCCCAACACAGCTACGCGCACCAGCAAGCGCTACTGTTTGTCAACAATTGCCTGAAATCTTGACAAGTTCACACCTTCAATAGCTCAAGCCAAAACTTAAATCAAAATCGGTATGCTCTGACAAACGAAGAGAACAGGCGCCTAAGCAGCCAGCGCGCACCAAACAACGACGAGCAAATGAAAAAAAATGTTGGAAGCCATGCCAGATGGCCAAACTCAAGGTCAAACGTCATGTAATGTTGACCCCATATTAATCAACCCCAGTTTATAGGGGGGTGTTAACTGGGGTTGATTAAGATGGGGTCAACATTAGGGCCTAGGCTCGCGCCCCAATTTACTAAGGAAGCGAACCTTGTGGCCATGAACCAGCAGCAGAAAGCTAACAACCACAACTATGCGGGGAAATGGTGAATCCTCTTTAGAGTCCATCGTAAAAGCCTGCGAATTGATTTCACAAGTCTATTGTTATTTTCAGAATGTTGTTGTGTTCTATCTCCAAAAATGTCTGTAAGCTGTGCTACAAACACATTCCGCTTGCAATGATAACACCCTGCGAGAGAGAAGCTAAAAAGTCACCGCCCTGGCGGCGCCTTGTCTTTCGTCTACTTGCTAACACTTGCCTCCTTCACTATGGCTGGTAAACTGAAGAGCTTCATACTTGCCAATAGTTGTTTTCTATCATCATAGCTCAAGTCCTTCTTAACATACCCCGCAACCCCCTTCTAACTGTTTGGGCCCTGTGCTACTGTTACACCTCTTTTTATGATAGGGCTCTCTATTGTAGAACGTGTTTTCCTAATTCAGGATCCTGCGACTGTTTTGGGATCCTCTATTGTGGAAGGTTTATTTGCCGGGAAAACTACGCCCGAACAGACATCCGGGCACAAAACAACTGGCCAACAAGTCGAGCAAAAAAATGGGTTTCTAAATCTGGGCAAACATCAGGAATTCCTTTTTTATCTGGTCGCCAAACCATCAAATTCAAGATAGCTTCTTTACACAAAAAGCAAGGGCAACCAGTCACGCAAAGGGGGCTGCCCACAAGAGGCCCTGATCCTTTTGAACGTGATTGTTTTAGGGTCCGTTTTCCAACTTTGTTTGGGGATTGCTGAAAAGCTGGCCCTTCCCAGCTAAGTTAGAATTGGCAATACTAAAATAAGCCCTGGGAATCTGAGAGTAAGTCCTGGCCATACTAGTTTTTGTCTTGGCAATACGAGAGTAAGCACTGGGAAGTCTTGGCAATACTACGGTAAATAGGCATCTGAGAGTTAGTCGTGTCCTGGCAAAGCAAAATTTAGTCTTGGCAATCGAAAGTAAGTACTGGGAATCTGACTGTAAGTCTTGGAAACGCTAAACTGAGTCTTGGCAATACGAAAGTAAGTACCGGAAATCTGAGTGTAAGTCTTGGCAATACTAAAGCTAGTCTTGGCACTACTAAAGTAAGTACTAGCAAGTCCAAGTCCCACCCAGACCCCCAGAATTTTCACTAAAGAGGGTCCAGCTGACTGGTTCCACTGTTGAGGGGAGGGGGTCACATTAACGAGGGTCCAACATTCACCCTGCAGGTGGCTGAGTGGATTTTACCCTGAGCAACATGTAGATGTTTGGCAGGTCAACAGAAAAACGTCCACTTGGTTGGCTTGCTGTACACCAGAGACACAGAAATGGGTATGGGTCAAAATTAAGTCACCCGGGGACCGCAGGTTTTAGTCTACTTTTCCATTTGCCAGGTCCCATTTTGGGTACCTATTTTTTACCCACAGCCAATAGGTGTTCCCAAATCGCTCTCGAATGCGAGGAACGAATTTCCCGGCCATGGCGGTTGCTCCATCAGGATGACTCAACAACCCGAGGAACCTAAAATCCATCTTTAATAATTGGAGTTGACCCATGGACCTAAAATTGGATGCGACTACCCCGTGGACCTAAATTTGGCTTGACTACTTACTACTCCATGGACCTAAAGTTGGGGCCCTTGGGGTGATTTCCCCAAGAAAAAAAAGAAGGGCCCCTCATGGGGGGTGGGTTTTTGAAACACTGAGATTTACGAGTGTTTTGCGTATCTTTCCTTGATCAAACAAACAACCCTTGGGTTCAAGCCTAGTCAAATGGAATAAACAACCGCCCAATTCTCGTAGACCCCGCCCCGAGGCCCGTGCCCCAGCACCGTGAGCTCCGCTGATTCGGTGTTATTGGTGAGAGCCCCCAGCTGGTCCAGGTTCTGGCGTTCATGCAGAACAAGGAGCAGAACACAAGGAGCAGAACAACAAGCAAGCAAGCAGGCAAACCAATAAACACAAAAACAAGCAAAGCAAAGCAAGCAATGCAAAGCAAGCAAGCAATGCAAAGCAAGCAAGCAAAGCAAGCAAGCTTGCAAACAAACGAAACAAATGAACGTGGCAAGTCAACCAACGTGGGTGTCTTGTTTTGAAGGTAACCCTTTTCTTGTTGTTTTGAAGGACAAGCAACATCCCCCTGACTCTCTACAAAATCCGGTGGTTCAAGTTCCCAAACCACCATCCAAACCAGCAGACAAAGGCTACCTAAAAAAGAACACCACACATTTTGTGGGTCTCCTAAAAAACACCCCTGCATCAAACCGTGTAACCTTGATCAACAGCGGTACAGGCTGCATCTCTACGGTACACTACCCAAAATGGAACCTGACTGGGGGTGGCTTGGTCACTCATGTGCTACCAACTGTTCTCGTGTTTTCCTCCTTATTGTTTTGCAGGAGTCGGTGCGTGTTCTATCAACAAACAAGGACCGACGCAATGCTAAAGAAGCACCGCCCCATTTTTATTCGCATTGGGTCAGAATCAAAAGCTGGCATACAGCGGTGCACCCGAAACCACATTAAAGCAAGGCGGCTGGAGCCATTTCTGGCAAGGGGAACATCACTCTGATCCCCTACACTCCTTCAGATCAGCCTGGAACTTCAAAAAAAACATCCACTTTTAAGAGGAATCTCCTTAGGAACTCCTGTAAAACCATCATTTTAAGAGGAATCCCCTCTTAGAGGGCTCCTTTGAAACCATCATTTTAAGAAAAAACACCTTTTAGAGGAGCCCACCTTCTCGGAACCCCATGGTCAATTTCTAGGCTTTCTGTTACTCAGCCCACGGCGTGCCTCGATGGAGCTGGCAATCGCCTCAGCCAAACGAGCATCGCCAATTTGGAGCGGGAAAAACAAATGGATAGGCCACATCAAAAGCTGATTGTTTACATCTTCTCAGTTGTTTCGTTCTTTTTTAGCTGATTGTTTACATCTATCTGGGAATTGTGAATCTATCCGGGGTTTGTTTTGTTTGAGGCTCAAATTTTGCCCCTTTCATGTCGGAGAGGGACACCACAAGGAAACTTGATTGGTGACATCGATCTCGAGCTGTTTTAAAAACTCATTTTGCCCCGTTCATCTCGGAGAGGGACACCTGGACACTCACCCATGTCTTGCCATTTCGATCCCCCGTTTCAAGTGCGGTCCAGGTTGCGGTCTCCTCGGGTGGCTGAGCGACAAGCATCCTGGCCAAAAAACTCACCGCATCCATCCACCAAATTCAGAAGTAGTGCCCCAGAAGCCGGCATTTGAATTGGAGAACAAAGGCGTCCGTTTTTCGCGGGTTGCCAAAAAAGAAGAAAACATGGGTGCGGCGGGGCACACGGGATTGCGGGCATCGGAGATCCGATTTATTCACCTGCTTTCCTCACCGAGTCTTCGATCAATAGAGGGCCTGGGGAAATGACAAAGGTGACCCATGTATCCCCCTTAGGTTTCCTGATGTGCAACAAACTGTGAAACACAACTGCGCTATTTAGCACTCAACGTGCTGTCAGAGTCCTGACACCATTGGCGTTTGAGTCTAACAGCAGATGAATAAAGTTCATGGCGTCACTGCACGGAACGCAACCATCCCCAGTGCCTCCAGGCAAGTCACTATAGCAATTAGGCAACCCTTCAGGTTTGTGACCTCTAGTGGTGTTGCATAATGGTTTCCCCTACTACGGTGGCCGTTTTGCCTGGAGGCACAGGGTTTTGCATTCAATCCAACGAATTCCACAAAATCGAAGGCGCAAAACATACGCCAAATGCCATGTGATTTCTCCCTAGGGATTTCCCTTTACTCGCTTGGTCCCAATGTTTGTTTTGTTTTTTGCTTGGCTGCGAAGGGAACCTGTTGTGCTTTTCAAGGGAAAGAAGGAACACCACCTTTGTGTAGGGTCCGGGGTCCCCTGAAAAAGACATACCCATAGAATAGGTGAGCATAGAAGGCAACACACATCCGAACTAACAATCACATCTGGACCTGCGGCGCTTGGTCTGTCTTTGACTCCAATGTGACGCGCTGCCCTGGAAGTGGGGGGAGACATTTGAGTCTGTTTCTTGTTAAAGGGACCCCCAGCATGGCTTCGGATTTCCGGTTGTTTTCCCTTTAAACCAACCCATTTAAAGGGGAACAATGAAACACACATAGCCAAAAAGACAGAGAGGTTCTTACAACCCGAAGGGATCTGGTGTCGTCATACCTTGGCCAAGCTCCAAATGGCCCAAACACCCTCGGGTGCAACCGGCTGCAACCGGCTGCCTGGAGTCTCCTTCTGACCCTTTCAAGATGGGTCCATGACGCCATTGTTTGGGTAATGACCCCATGTTTTAAGGGTCATGGAGTCTCCAGGTGGCTTTCCTGTTGACGGCTCTTTGGTGGATTCCATGCAATGAGGGGTTTGGTCAACCTACCCGCCCAACCAGCTTGGGGATTCCAATACCAAACGCGTGAGATCTATTCACCCCGCCCCCTCCCGCAGAAGCTTTGGCGGTCCTCAATCAAGTAGGGGGAGAGGGGTTTGAATGGACAGGTGAACCCACCGCAACAAGGATCATAGGCATAGGGAGGGTATCCCCTCCACTCTCCGGGTTTCCTCGAAAGGACCGAGGAAAACCCAGTCCGGCTTACGAAGATGCCAAGACAACATGCGACAATTTGTCACTCCTCTGGTTGTGGCTGACATTTCGCGAGTTTCCAGAAAGAGATCGGGCAAATGAGACCAAACCTCCTATCCGGATTGCACTTTGTCCTGAGCAACAAGTCTAACCTGTTGTAGGCTTGATGGACAAGTATGTTTCTTCCTGTGCATGTTCAACAGCAACATGATGCACACGAAACCATTCAATGGCGACGGCCATTGGCTCAAGCGCTGGAAAAAGCGCGACCTTTTGCACAGACATAACCATAGGTTATGAGCCCAACCTCTCTGAGGTAAAGCCATGATTCGCAGGCGCCGGCGAGAAGTGGTACGGGATGGAGAGACCGCGGATGAGGCCTTGGACCGCCTCATCATGGAGCGGGTGCAGGAGGAGGAGCGTGCATCGCGAAGGGCGAGGTCGGAGGATCTGGAGGACCGGCGGGGGATTCGCCGGGTCACCGGTCCGGAGCGGAGTGAGCCCAGGGGCGGGGGGAACGTTCTTCCCCCTCCAGGGCTGGTGCCGGAAATGGCGGAAGATGGACTTCACGGGCAAGGAGCTCCTGGACAAGGAGAACGGATTCTGGAACGGCCAGGTGAACCAATTCGAGAGCGGGGTGGAGGTCAATCCCATCCTGGTGAGTCTCGAGGGCATGGGTCCCGCGGACAACCTGGGCCAAGTGAGCTATCTCAGGAACTTCGAGGACGTCCTGGGGCGCACGGCGGGCACGATGCTGTAGTACTCCAAGGGCCATTCTTGGCTGGTGGAGAAGGCCAAGGACATCCGGGAGTAAGGAATGGTCATGATTCGGGTGAACCTGAAGGGCATGGTCAATTGCATTGCGTGGACCACTTGACGGGCGTCCTTCAGCTAGTAGAGAACTACCGGCTCATCCAGGTCAAGGCCAGGAATGGGAAGTCAGGCCAAGGCAGTTGGAGCCCTATGATGGTCGGGGGACTTTGAGCGGAAATCGGAGAGGTCCCTATGGTCCTGGAGATGTACCGGCAGGTGGAGGGGTGAACCCGTTTTGGAGCCCTGAGGTTCAACGAAGGGCAGCCCAAGCACAACCTGTGTCTGCTGGCAGGGCGACCACAGAAGACCGAGGACGACAACAAGGTCAAGAAGAAGATCTTGAAGCTCTTCGACTACGGGTGATGAGAGACGCAGAGCAGATCTTTGAGAGAGAAGTGGCGAGATTGCAGGCGGCGAGAACAAGGGACGACGTTTCCTACAGGACGGCATCAGAAGGAGGAGTAGTTGGAGGTCTTGGTCCTCCACCGCTTCATGATGAAGGAAATCGACCTCAGCCACCTCCACCACCGCCACCACCTCCGAGGGGATTGGAGGACAATAAACCGAGTGCTCCCAGAGGCTCTGAGGAATTTGGAGTTGCCTAGCCTGCCTCCTCCTGGAGGAGATCTGGCAGCTTTGACCTTTGGAGATTGGGTAACGGTGATCGGGCCGTTGATGGCGGACATTGCAGGTTCAGCTCAAGAGTGGTGGAAGGATGTTCTTCAACGGGCAGAATCCACCTACACGGAGTGGCTGATTGCGACCCCCTTGGAGAAGCTCAGGTTGAAGCCTTCATTGGGGGAGGGACATGTCCACAATCACCGGGTGGAGCAACGGGGGCTCTCCATGCTACTTGCTGCGCTGCCTGACCCAATCCGCAGAGAAATCATCTCGGCAAGAAAGATGTCGGCAACGGAGATCATGTTTCGCCTTCATCAAATATATCAGCCAGGTGGGACGTCGGAGAGAGGCAACCTGCTCAAGAATCTGGCAGATCCGAAGGTGGGGAATACGTTGTCAGAGGCCTTGCAGACGTTGGAGGAGATGGTTAGCGAGAGCAGAGGAGTTGGAAGTGGCACTGCCAGACGGGTTGGTGTTGCTGACGGTCCTGAACAAGATTGCGGAAGCGGTCGGGAAGGTTGGTGCTCAAGCCAGCTTTCGGATCTCTTCGGTTCGCCAAGAACTTCAAGTTGATGTTCGCCCTCACCTCGCGAAGATCAAGCAGTTCTCGGAGTATTTGCAGGCGGAGGCGGAAAAACTTTCACTTGCAACAGCCCTCAAAACCTCATCCACGACCAACGCAGCCAATCCAACTCAGCAAGCTCCAGGACTCAAGGCCCTGGCAACATCTGGAACCAAGGATCCGGCAGCGGAGACGGGGGACCAGAAGAAAAGGTCCTTCGGGGCACCATGCAGGTTTTGGGGCACAGATGGAGGATGCAAGAAGGGTAGCAGTTGCAGCTACGCGCATTCGTGGGACGGCTTGGAGAAGAACAACCGTTGCTTCGGATGTTCTGGGGTGGGCCACTCGAAGCGGGATTGCCCGGTCAAGAAATGGGACTGGGGCACGAGCAAGACAACAGCAGCTGCCGCTCCCAAGGTGTCCAAGTTTGAGAAGCAGAAGGATGGAAGATCTTCTGGAGAAGGCCCTGGCGCAAGTGGTGAAGGGGCCCGCGCGGAGGAGGCGTCCCGGGAGGTCACCGGTCAGATTCCCAACACCGCACCGCCGAATTCGGTGGCCATGGGTGGAGGAACACCTAAACCGCCGCAAGATACTGCGGAGGCAGCTGGGTTGATGTCTGAAGTGGCGGGCTTGCTGAAATCGTTGAGATCGATGAAGGCCCTCCAGATCAAGTATGAGGCAGCCAAGAGAAAGGCTGCAG